TCAGAGTCATGAATGTTCTTCTTACACAGCATCAATAACATTGAAGCACTAAGTGACTATACCTTTTGCCATTTCATCGGACATTTATGAAAATGTTTTATTATGTTTGTTTGAACTTGAAATCAAAGCGAACATTTGTCAGTTCAAAGCATTATATAATATACATCATATGGCAATATGTCAAAGCAACAAGTCAAATTCAGTTTCCACGAAAACACTTATCTCCTATCTTAAGAACTAATATACATATCAAAAGTTTACATAGCATCAATAACATTGAAGCACTAAGTGAATATACCTTTTGACATTTCATCGGACATAAAAACTAATATCCCTATCAAACGTTGAGGACTATGTCATAGCAATATGTGTTCTTGACTAGAAAATATACCCTTCAGATGTGAGTATGGATTTATACTGCTTTAGTAATATTCAAGCAATATCACGGAGACACCAGAAATTATTTCTTAAAGCCTCTGACTTAGTTTAAAAAATGTAATAATTGTTCAATGAATAAAAAAGCCACCCAGCTCTTGCAAGTAATCAGTTCTAGTCACATTTTACTACCCACCTGGAAAATATGCTTGACGGCAATTTAAAGCTGATATTTTATCCTTTCATATTTCACATGTATCAGTAAAAAACAGACTTGCGGAACACACACTATGTTACACCAGACAGTCCTAACAAAAATTGACACAGAACATTATTTCAACATTGCTTATCTGTTGTAGAGTTTATTGACATCCTTGGTGAGGAGAGGCAGATTGCCAGCCTCACACAGACCAGTTAGTATACAGCCATGACAAAGGGAGGGGGGATAACTCTGCTGAAACAAGGATACCATCATGAGTGAGTGATTGAGTGAGTGAGTGAGTGAGTGAGTGAGTGAGTTTGGTTTAACGCCGCTTTTAACAGTATTCCAGTTATATCACGGCGTGTCAGTTTAATGTGGGAGTAAAGCCCGAAGTGATGCAGGTCTCAGACGTTTACCACTTCGGTGAAATCCACGAGCACGGGTATGGTGCTGACAAACCTAGAAACATAATCGGGGCGAACCTGGATTCAAATCCACAATCATAGGTTTCTGGCGTGCCCAAGGGACGCAACTCTGCACAGCGAATTGCGGCGCCTTAGACGACTGGGCCACCCGTGCCCCCGATACCATCATGAGGTGAGGTGAAGTGAAATGGGATTTAACATTGCATCCCACATGACATGGGACCAAGCTATACATCATTACAAAAGAGATTCCTCAAACAATAGCGACTAGAAGGCTGAAAATTCATACCAAGTTGATTTGAGGAAAGAAATCTTGTACTTCATTTCCTACTGGTGAGGGCTAAAAACATGACTACTTTCATTTTAACAGTATTTCAGTTGTATCATGATGTGACAGTTTAGTCAGAAGGCCCTAAACAACATAGTTCTTGATAAAAACTGTGATTCAAACCCTCCACCAGTGGATCCTGGCATGACTAAGGGATGCAACTCTGCACAGCATACTGCAGTGCCCTTGAGCACAGGGCCACTCCCTGCCCACAAGCTTGTCTTGGAGAGTGTGTGAGGATACATATACATCTATATACACGAAGAAAAGGTGAGGCAAATGAAATGCAATGGATAAGTATATTTAATTTTTAACATAACTGCCATTTGATTTATTGCAAGCGTGTTAATACTGATAATGAGGCCTGTACAACTCTCTGACAAGTCAATATAACTGCCACTGAACATAGAGAAAAGCCTGCAAATGTGTGATCATATCTGAGAGCATTTTGAGAGCATATTATTTATGGAAGCTTTTTTAGCATTTTTAGTAATTGTTCACATACCCGTCTAAGAGACTATTCACTTATTATAACGGTGTGGGGTGTGGGGTGTGGGGGGATGGGCTGTGGTGTCCGAGGGCATCAGGGGAGGGTCACCCGAAAATATGACAGTCCCTTGTAAATAATTCACATATTTGGGAAGGGTCATGACATTTTTTTACAATAAAATATAAAGTCCTATTGCATTTTTGGAAAGGACATAGGGAGGCTTATCCCAAAATATGACACGCATTGGGGGAAGGTAATTATTTTCAGTACATTAGTGCATCGAAAAACCCTGGAACAGACTCTGCACAGCAAGTTACGGTGCCGAAGACCTTTGCTGATTTGGGCCCTGATGTTTGATAAATGTGAACCATGTTGGAAGCATTAGCTGTGGATAACTATACCTGATCAACACAAGAGGGGATAAGCTAAGAAAAAGACAGTATTCACCAATTACTATAAAATAATAATTTAGAACTTTATCATATTTATGTTCATTACTTTTAGAAACTTATCCCCTATTTTTACAAGAACAATTTCAAATTAGGTGAAAATTTGTTCAGAAAATTTTATACAAATGTATGTATAACAGCATTATGTTATGATGAGACACACAACATGCTGTTATTGAATGCACATGGACGGATGTGAATTTATCAGATATTTCCCGTGTTTGAAACTTTAAATGAAAATAAATACATGATAAAATACACATGGTTCCGAAAAGAATAAAAATAATGAGTTTCAGAAACATTAACCTGAAACTAATGCTGCAAACATTGACTATGCATAGTACTTGGTCCCTACAGAAGGCAGGAAAACTGATGGTTCTGGAGACTTGAGGGATCAATCAAGACAGCAATATTTAATCTCTCTCTGCTTTAACCCAATAACAGTCAATAAGTGAGTGAGTGAGTGAGTTGGGTTTAACGCCGCTTTTAACAGTATTCCAGTCATATCACGGCGTGTCAGCTTAATGTGAGGGGAGGCCGAAGTGATGCAGGTCTCAGACGTTTACCACTTTGGTGAAACCCACGAGTATTGTGCTGACAAACCTAGAAACATAATCGGGGTGAACCGGGATTCGAACCCACAATCATAGGTTTCTGGCGTGCCCAAGGGACGCAACTCTGCACAGCGAATCGCGGCACCTTAGACGACTGGGCCACCCGTGCCCCCAACAGTCAATAAGATCCCAAAGAAATGAACATTAAGATTCTCTCACAAGTCATATGGATGCACATCGTCAATACTTCATAAGCTTGTATACACAACGTTCGTTCATCACCCATGAATACAGATGGACGATTTGCGGTGATGGTGCTAGTGTTTACGAATCAAGTCATGGCCTGGTAACAGCAAGAGGGAAACGTGCTCAGACTAATGAGAGCTCAGATTACATCGATAATATTCTCACGTAACATGTACAATAGCCTTGGGGACATTTACTCAGAACAATGGTTCGCACTAGCTCCATGACGGGTTGGGCTTGTTTGACCTCTGTGAGTGAAACACACCCTCATTTAAATACATGACTAAAACTAGACACATTACTACGACACTGCATATCATCTGTATTTTTTCACTGGTGATGGAGGAATGTCATGTATTCATTCTCACGATGGAGGAACGTCGTGTATACATTTTCCTATTGTATTGACAACGTAGAAGGCAGTCACCACGTTCTACCTATGAAAACATAATCTACATGAAAACCAGAGTTCCAGAGTTGCTTTACAAAGAAAAGCAACACACTTCTTTAAGAGGAAGTACAAATGAACGAGTCATTTGGGTTTAACACCACTTTTAACACTATCCAGTTATATCACGGCGTGTCAGCTTAAGCTTGCAGACATTTACCACTTTGGTGAAACCCACGGTGTTGACAAAACCTAGAAACATATTCGGTGCAACCAGGATTCGAACCCACGATCATAGGTTGCTGGTATACACAAGGGACGCAACTCTGCACAGCAAATTGTGGCTCCTTAGACGACTACACTCCACGAATCCCAAGGAAGTACAAATAACATTCAATTTGAAGTATAAAAGTTATGACAAATTGTTTGATGATATCTTTGGCAAGACTGTCAATTCTGAGTACAAACATGGTGACAATTAAACATGTAGTTAACATTTAGTCCGCCACAACATAATTGTCTCTTGTCACAGGTCATAAATGCAACATTTAGCAAATACTATCACCAAAACAGGAACTTAACTAATACAATAAAACACACATAGCAGGAAGTCAACCACTCCTCGTATATCTATCCTTGTATTATTTTGAGCAGAATGACAAATATGACGATGCTGAATAACGGCAACACAAGTAACAAACGGGCTTCGGCAGACACTGAATACACCACGGACAATAACAAAGACAATCACATCATTTACATATGTACAAGATATGTATCAAGAACTGGGGGAATCATGTAGCCGTGTTGACTCCATAATGTTAATGATTGGCTGCCATGGAGATTGTTCATACACGTCAATATTGTCATTAGCAGGGGTTTACTGCTCAATGCTATTTATAAAGTTGAAAACCAAGAATGTCTGTCAGAAGCAGGATGAACTCACAATAGAGCAGCTCCATCTGTAAATGTCTCTCTCTAATATAACGTGAGGTTTTTAGATGCTATGAAGACCAATGAGTAGTATATTCTAAAATTCAATGAGTTGTATATTCTAAAGTTCAATGAGTTGTACATTCTAAAACATTGGTTTCTTTCCTTATATTGAATAATTATATCAGAATGAAATTGTTTACACATTGTTATAATGCAACAAAATATTTTTTAACATCATATATGTAAAAGCAATTTCATTCCGAAATAATTATTCAACATTGTTCAATACAATTATTCAATATATGTTATCAAAATTACAATGAAACAAATATTTCTTAACATTATACATGTATAAGCAATTTCATTCCAAAATAATTATTCAATACAATTATTCAATATATGTTACAAAATTACAATGCAACAAAATATTTCTTAACATTATACATTTCAATCCGATATAATTATTCGATATACCATATTTGACATAATAAGCGCCCCGCTCTAATGTGCGCCCATGGCGATAGTTGCTAATATATTTGCTAGTGAACAATCCCAATTAGCACCCCTTCCTATTGATCAATTTTCACAAGACTTATTGATTCGTGTATAATACGTACTCATGTGTTATATGCAACCTTAATTATGGGCAATTAAATTCTGGAAAATATATCTGTCATGTATGATACGCACATACTTTTCTTTTGTATCATGTCAGGCTGTCAGCATAAACAGCATAAATTTACAATCTCTCAACTCTGTTTTTGTTCTCACCAAAATTATATTCTAATAAGAGCCCCCTATTTCCAATTTTGAGAGCGCCCTGGGCGCATATTACCTCGAATACGGTAAGGAAAAAATACATACATAACCATATTTAGTTCCAAGGAGTTGCTCGGTTTAATGTGCACAATACATCAATGTACATAGACTGTAAGTCTTAAATTTGTAGTTCAAGTATTAGGTAAAGCTTTCAATCATGAACCTGCAATCAGTGTTTAACTGATTGGTCCTGAAGCCCATTCTTTGTGTTGGCCCATTGTAATGTGGCTGTAATACTGCTGAATTTGGCAAATAAAATCTTTATACTGATGTAATTGTATATTTAACGATAATAAACTAGTAACACATATCAGGTGATGAATATTTGATGTATGAAGATTTTGGTACATTACCAAAACCTAACCAAACAAACAGGTCATACTGGCTGATGTTGTGTGTTCATACCAGACTGACAATCTTTTCACATTTTATTTGAGATGGTGGACTGTATACATGCAAGCCATGCTAAAGAAAATATTAATGGCCAAGTATTCCAGATGCGTAAAGCTAACAATGCATTTATGTTGCTGTTCTAAAATTGCAGCCATTCTGATGTTAACATTGCAGGGAAGTCCAAAAGGCCAATTCATGTTTCAATAGCACATACAGATGCATGTGACATACCAGATTCCACTTCTGGATGAGCAGACGCAAGTCAGGGATTAAATGGGTGGCGGATCTTCCAGATGTATTGTCCATGGTTGTCATGCCGCAACTGATGAAATGGCTGAAGGATCTTTTTATGTTTCAGTGGACTCAGATAGCTACGATTTCATGATACAAGTAGTGTAATGGCTGAAGGATCTTTTTTCTGTTGCAATGGACTCGGATAGCTATGATATCATGATAAAGGTATGATATCATGACACAAGTATTCTAATGGCTGAAGGATCTTTTTCTGTTACAATGGACTCGGATAGCTATGATATCATGATAAAGGTATGATATCATGACACAAGTATTGTAATGGCTGAAGGATCCTTTTCTGTTACTATGGACTCGGATAGCTATGATATGATGAGAAGTGATGTCATGGCTGAAGTATCTCCCTGCTGTCCTGCCACAAGGGCTGAAACTGATGTTTGATCTTCATCTTTTCCTGACACTCGTGGTTTAAGTGGTGAAGTGGATGACAGATCTTCATATATGATCTCCTGAAACAGGTGTTGAAATGAGTGATGGATCTTCAGATTCACAGATGACATCGGTGACAAGTCCTAGACACGCCTGACCTCCTTCATCGCGTCCTCCTTCAACTTCCACTGCATAAGCTGCAAACAGGCTACTGCATCCTCCTGACTGTCATGGCCGCCAACTGAAACATACAAGGCTTCAGTGTCTACTGAGGCATATTTCTTTACAGGCATAACTTACAGAATATCCCTATCTACTTAAACCAAAGCCACTTAGGGACCAACCATTTGGATATTTGTGTTGAGATTAGATTTTATTCCAGCTTCAGCTACGAAACCAGATATTTTTATTTTTAAAATCATAAGCCTGATTTTCTTTTCGTTTCAACAGTCTGAAGCATATTTATCTTTTTTTCAAGAAATTTTCAGGGACAATTTATTTCTGATAAAATCCCAGGCCCTCCCCAAAATATAAAAAAAATGGTTGGTCCCTTAACATATATTTTGAAGTGAGGGGTGAGGGGTGAGGGTATGTTTGGTATACTGTTGCTTTGAACAGAGAGTTTGTGAGTTTCGTTTTAAGCCAATTTGATCAGTACTTCCGCATATCACGATATGTTAGCTTAACAGGCGAGGAAAGCCCAAAGTGATGCAGGGTGAAGAGGTTTACCACTTCGGTGAAACCAAAAAGAAAGGTATGGTATTGTCAGATCATAATTGGAAAATACCAAACAATAGTTAGCATGGTTAGCATTGTTGATAATTCAAAGAATACTACCTCTATCACATCGCAATAAATCTTTATTTTGGCTGTCATCACACTACAAAATCTTTAGATTTTTAACTAAAGTCCTCTCCACTGTTAACTATCCATAACTAGTTGAGATACTAATAGTATGGTCAAACCAAGGATCATCATTGATTTGAACCCATGACAACCTGGCTAAAGAATAGACAGCCTAAGATCATTGCGTGCGTGGCTGCGTGTACTAGACCGGACTAATGCCAATTTCATAGTGCTAGCCCACTCAGATACCATGCTGCAGTTTAACATGAATACCCCACTCAGACACAGTATACTGACCAGTCCTTGTCCTTAGCACCTAAATGCAGAGCGCCAGACAGGATAACAACAAGTACAATCTTTTAATGTCTTTTGGTATGACGTGGCCAGGGATCGAATCCCAGAACTTCTGCCGTCCGGGCAGACGCTCTATCACTAGACCATTGAAGAGATAAAACACCATCAGTAAGGCACCTGTTCACCTCCCTGATTGTCATTCAAGCAAACTATTCATTTCCTGAGATATTTCAGAGTAACGAACTAATAACAATAATATAACATCAGCTGCTGTAAGAAACACTGAATGTATTGTAAGCATGGCAAGAGGCCCTATAAGCAAAGTTCCTGCATAGAACAAAGAAATTGATCTCACCATCGTCTTGTATAATCTTCTGGAGGAAATCTACCATAAGGTTGCGGAGAGCTCTCTTGTATGGTGGCCCAAGTCGATGGGGGAACACTACAGATGTGTCCACTACAGTGTTGTGTATGATCTAAAACACAGAAAATGTACATAGAAAATAGGATATACTATTGTCATAAACATTACATTCGTACCCATCCATGTACTGTCTACACCCATCCAAGTACTGTCTACACCCATCCAAGTACTGTCTACACCCATCCAAGTACTGTCTACACCCATCAAAGTACTGTCTACAACCATCCAAGTACTGTCTACACCCATCCAAGTACTGTCTACAACCATCCAAGTACTGTCTACACCCGTCCAAGTACTGTCTACACCCATCCAAGTACTGTCTACAACCATCCAAGTACTGTCTACACCCATCCAAGTACTGTCTACACGCATCCAAGTACTGGCTAAACCCGTCCAAGTACTGTCTACAACCATCCAAGTACTGTCTACACCCATCCAAGTACTGTCTACACCGATCCAAGTACTGTCTACACCCATCCAAGTACTGTCTACACGCATCCAAGTACTGTCTATACCCATCCAAGTACCGTCTACACCCATCCAAGTACTGTCTACACCCATCCAAGTACTGTCTATACCCATCCAAGTACTGTCTACAACCATCCAAGTACTGTCTACACCCATCCAAGTACTGTCTACACCGATCCAAGTACTGTCTACACCCATCCAAGTACTGTCTACACGCATCCAAGTACTGTCTATACCCATCCAAGTACCGTCTACACCCATCCAAGTACTGTCTACACCCATCCAAGTACTGTCTATACCCATCCAAGTACTGTCTACAACCATCCAAGTACTGTCTACAACCATCCAAGTACTGTCTACAACCATCCAAGTACTGTCTACACCCATCCAAGTACTGTTTACACCCATCCAAGTACTGTCTACACCCATCCAAGTACTGTCTACACCCATCAAAGTACTGTCTACACGCATCCAAGTACTGTCTACAACCATCCAAGTACTGTCTACAACCATCCAAGTACTGTCTACACCCATCCAAGTACTGTCTACACCCATCCAAGTACTGTCTACACGCATCCAAGTACTGTCTATACCCATCCAAGTACTGTCTACACCAATCCAAGTACTGTCTACACCCATCCAAGTACTTTCTACACCCATCCAAGTACTGTCTACAACCATCCAAGTACTGTCTACACCCATCCAAGTACTGTCTACACCCATCCAAGTACTGTCTACACCCATCCAAGTACTGTCTACACCCGTCCAAGTACTGTCTACACCCATCCAAGTACTGTCAACAACCATCCAAGTACTGTCTACACCCATCCAAGTACTGTCTACACCCATCCAAGTACTGTCTACACGCATCCAAGTACTGTCTATACCCATCCATGTACTGTCTACATGCATCCAAGTACTGTCTACACCCATCCAAGTACTGTCTACAACCATCCAAGTACTGTCTACACCCATCCAAGTACTGTCTACACCCATCCAAGTACTGTCTACAACCATCCAAGTACTGTCTACACCCATCCAAGTACTGTCTTCAACCATCCAAGTACTGTCTACACCCATCCATGTACTGTCTACACCCATCCAAGTACTGTCTACACCCATCCATGTACTGTCTACACGCATCCAAGTACTGTCTACACCCATCCAAGTACTGTCTACAACCATCCAAGTACTGTCTACACGCATCCATGTACTGTCTATACCCATCCAAGTACTGTCTACAACCATCCATGTACTGTCTACAACCATCCAAGTACTGTCTACACCCATCCAAGTACTGTCTACAACCATCCAAGTACTGTCTACAACCATCCAAGTACTGTCTACACGCATCCAAGTACTGTCTACAACCATCCAAGTACTGTCTTCAACCATCCAAGTACTGTCTACAACCATCCAAGTACTGTCTACACCCATCCAAGTACTGTCTACACCCATCCAAGTACTGTCTACACCCATCCAAGTACTGTCTACACCCATCCAAGTACTGTCTATACCCATCCAAGTACTGTCTACACCCATCCAAGTACTGTCTACAACCATCCAAGTACTGTCTACACCCATCCAAGTACTGTCTACACCCATCCAAGTACTGTCTACAACCATCCAAGTACTGTCTACACCCATCCAAGTACTGTCTACAACCATCCAAGTACTGTCTACACCCATCCAAGTACTGTCTACACCCATCCAAGTACTGTCTACACCAAGTACTGTCTATACCCATCCAAGTACTGTCTACACCCATCCAAGTACTGTCTACAACCATCCAAGTACTGTCTACACCCATCCAAGTACTGTCTACACCCATCCAAGTACTGTCTACACCCATCCAAGTACTGTCTACACCCATCCAAGTACTGTCTACACGCATCCAAGTACTGTCTACACCCATCCAAGTACTGTCTTCACCCATCCAAGTACTGTCTACAACCATCCAAGTACTGTCTACACCCATCAAAGTACTGTCTACACCCATCCAAGTACTGTCTACACCCATCAAAGTACTGTCTACAACCATCCAAGTACTGTCTACACCCATCCAAGTACTGTCTACACCCATCCAAGTACTTTCTACACCCATCCAAGTACTGTCTACACCCATCCAAGTACTGTCTACACCCATCCAAGTACTGTCTACACCCATCCAAGTACTGTCTACACCCATCCAAGTACTGTCTACACCCGTCCAAGTACTGTCTACACCCATCCAAGTACTGTCTACACCCGTCCAAGTACTGTCTTCACCCATCCAAGTACTGTCTACACCCATCCAAGTACTGTCTACACCCATCCAAGTACTGTCTACCTCCATCCAAGTACTGTCTACACCCATCCAAGAACAGTCTACACCCCTCCATGTATTATCTATACTCATCCAAGTACCAAGTAGCACTTCCCAAATATGCAACTAATTTTTATTCCTGAAACGAAAACAGTTTGTTATCTTGAAAATCCATCACTATTAAAGATATTTTTTAAAGAAAAGTGTGTTGCCCCATCAATTATGCCAACCCTTGACTCTTTAATTTGGTAGACAGGATTTCTTCACGGACTGATAAGCAGCCATCCCCTCAATCAGAACTAAAAGCAGTCACCTTGACCGATATGAGATCACTCTCGAGACTGTGACCAATCAGAATCGTCTTGTCTGTGAAGAGACTGAGGAGCACAGCTTGTACATCCCGAAGACTTGTCTTCACATCCTGTAGATCCTTCTCAGTGATTCCGCTAAACCTGGTGTTGTAGTCGATCACAGGGAAGCCTGGTTTAACCATTGTCTCGTACACTGGTTTGGACTCGGGGTCGATCACTGTCACCCTGGCAAGCTCCATGCCGCCCTTTGTGTACACCTACATCAAGACACTGATTCAATAACCTCTTCCACTCTTCAGCATCTGTTTCTAAATATCTCATGCTTTCAGTAGCATCATATTCAAATTTCTCCCCGGCAAAACAGGCAAAACATGTTTCAGATAACAAATGTTCAAAGTTGATGCTTATTTTACTATATCTTTGCAGAGGACACGTTTGTCACACAGCGAGTAACATGGAAAGTTTGTTTGTATGTTTGTAACACCGCACTCAGCAATATTCCAGCTATTTGACGGCGGTCTGTAAAAAATCAAGTCTGGACCAGACAATCCAGTGATTGACATTATGAGCATTGATCTACGCGATTGGGATACAATGACATGCATCAACCAAGTCAGCGAGCCTGACAACCTGATCCCCTTAGTAAATGAACAATCTGTTCAGACAATTTCTCTAAAGATTTCATGTGTTTACCAATGTCCTGTTTACAGTACTGAAGAGAAGAAGCGTTAAGGTCTCACCATCTCACAGTCCATGGCATAAACACCATAATCCCCATCTATTGGTGGGGACGAAGGAATGGTTTTCATGTATCCTGTCACACTCTCAGACTTGTTGGACTCGAATACATGGTACTGAAATTTCAAATTTATTCAAAGATTACCACTTGAATATTTAACAGACACTCACTTTGACTCAGTCAAACTATAAATGCTATAAATGCTTGAAACCCTTTCTACATTCACTAAACCATACATAAAAACTATAAATACCTTCTTTGGTTAAAAATTTACAATCATGACGTTGACGTCCTTCTAATCTTATTGTGAAGTGAGGTCGGAATGACTTCACACTGGAAATGATGTCATAGCTGAAGATTGTTGCTGCCATTCGACAAATTGTCGTTCTGCTGCTGTTGCGACTTGCTGTCCTTATAGGTAAACACTCTGTATGAAGACATCTTCTTTGGTAATAAATAGAACATTTTATTCGTGTTCATGTCATACTGTGTTTACGACATGAGTGTCTAAATACCGAAATGTAGACACTCGTGTCTTAAACATAGTATGACATGAACACGAATCAAATGTTCCAGGTTTATACAAGAAGCGTGAGAGTTCACGTCATACCGTGTTTACGACATGAGTGTCTAAATACCGAAATGTAGACACTTGTGTGGTAAACATAGTATGATATGAACTCTCACATAATATCCTCTATATCTGACGTAATTGTTCAGGAATTCAGTTGATCAAGAGACACACATTTCAACATTGTTATCAAACAAAATGACATGATATATATTTTCCATTTCACCCTAATAGCAACCCAGCCATACCTGCAGGGGACACTTACCTTGCACACCTGACAGCCCTCGGCCCCCAGGTCCCCCCCACAACAGTTGTAGCTCGACACCAGGGCACGGTCAACTGGAAATGGAAGTAGTGGATAGTGTCAAAACGTGTTACACTTGCTTAAGGTGTGAGTTGTCAATCTCTGATATCGTGTATTCCAAACTGTAAGCTTATCATAGCAAGAAACAATGTCCACTGACTTTTCTATTTCTCATTTTTATTCTCGCCATTCCTCATTTTACATACACCACAGGAAGTACCACCGCTTCCTGTATAAACATGGACTATTAACCAGACTAAGCCATTTTTGTGCTGCAGTCAGCAATATTTCATCTAAATCAGCAAAGGATGTGAATATGGGTATATGACAGCGGTTTGTAAATAACCAAGTCTGGATCAGACAATCCACTGATTGACATCATTGAGCATTGATTTCTAGGGCTGGGACGATACACCAACTGTGAGATCCAATACATATCACGATACGTGTATGTGCTCGTATCTGTAGTGTGTAACCGATATTTTTCATGGACAGGATAGTCAAATACCTGGCAAAGTGATGATTTGCAGTTGGCAGTGTCAGGTATGGCGCAATGGATGAAAATATTTACTTTTTTACTACCAATTTTTACTACTAATTAGAGTTTGGTGTAACAACCATTAAAGTAAACATTTTAGGTATGAATCGATAATTTTTTACTTAGTGTGCAACTGTGATCGGTACTTGTATCGGGAAGTAAAATATCGCGATTCATCGATGCATCGGTGTATTGTCCCACCACTATACATTCATGTGTGAGTGAGTGAGTGAGGTTTTACGCCGCTTTTAGCAATATTCCAGCAATATCACGGCAGGGGACACCACAAATGGGCTTCACACATTGTACCCATGTCGGGAATCAAACCCGGGTCTTCGGCATGACGAGCGAACGCTTTAACCACTAGGCTCCCCGACCGCCCATACATTCATGAGATTGGGATACAACGACATGCATCAACCAAGTCAGTGATCCTGACCAACCGATCCCATTAGTCGCCTGTTTTGGCAACTATGGGCTTGAGAAGACCAATTCTAACCAGGATCTTCATGTGAACAGTAAATATGTGAATAGTTTGGACCCAGAACTAGTGGTTGATAACAAGAGCAATGTTCCATGCCATTGGGCACGATGTCACATTTTGGAGTTGTCACAAACTGATACAAAGTGTTCAGGGTTATGAGGAGTACTGTATGATGCCACAAAAGCTGAAACAAAAGCAAGATAAAGGGAGCAGGGACAAAGATGGTTGGTTAAGATGCTTTTTCATGAAACATTTATTGGTATCATAAGGTTTGGTAATGCACTTTATGACCGACAGACAAAGGGGTACTTTCTGCCGAATTACGGTACTGTGCAACATGTGTACCACAGTGTCCTCCCTCACCTCTCTTCTTCCAGGCCTTGCCCCAGTGGTAGACACACTCCTCCTCTCGATTGTAGTTACCATTAGGGAACACGATGAACCTCTTGCCGCACCGTGCACAGTTCTTCTCATGTTCTGTAACATACATTCTATAAACTTAACTTCCAGACTTTTAATAACTCAAGAACAAACATTGAGGTATGTTATTTTCATGGTTGAATTGTAAATGGTACTCATCCACTGGGTTGATATGTTAAATGGGTTGATATGTTAAATGTCAGACACTGATTGATTGGTTGGTTGGTTGGTTGGTTGGTTGGTTGGTTGGGTGGGTGGGTGGGTGGGTGGGTGGTTGGTTGGTTGGTTGGTTGGTTGGTTGGTTGTGGGTGGGTGGGTGGGTGGGTGGGTGGGTGGGTGGGTGGGTGGTTGGTTGGTTGTGGGTGGGTGAGTGAGTGAGTGAGTGAGTGAGTGAGTGAGTGAGTGAGTGAGTGAGTGAGTGAGTGACACCGATATTAATAGTATCTGAGTTATATCATGACATGTCAGCATAACATCAGAGGAAAGCCCGAAGTATGGAGCTGACAAACCTACAAACACAATCTAAGGGACACAACTCTGTACAGCCAATTGCCATGACCCCTTTTGTTGAGGAAAAAATCACATTGGTTTGTTTCTTTAACATGTTCACTGTTTAACGGAATGAAAACTTTTGTAGGTGAACAACACACTGCAAATCCAGACCTTACCATGACCAGCAAAATCATCCAGATTAACCAATTTCCAGATTAATAATTCACAGATACTGGCATGGAGTAATGTCCCTTTGTATATATGTACTTAGCAGTAGACATTTGTAGCCAGTCCTGTTTACATTTTCTGTCAGTTTTATTCAGTTCCAAATTGTAGCAAATTGAAGCATGGAGAACTGGTTCAGAGTTATAGGCCATAAATGCTACTAGTCAATGAAGACTACCATCATTGGATGCCTACATGTTATCAGCACAATTTGGTAATCTCGGGCTACTGGACTTGCATCAATTTCGAAGTGTATTAAGGTATTGCCAATAGTAATTGTTGGGACAAACAGCGTTTCATGGTTTATAGACTGAATTACTTTCTTACGTTTTAAAATGACATCCTTTTCTTTCCTGTCAGCATAGAACTTGGCATGTGATCCTCCTTCGTCAGAGGGTCTGGGAAAACCATTCTCCCTCAACTGATCCTCAGTCAGGATGTACTTAGACAACCGCTTGTACAGTTCCGCACCTGTAGGAGAAAAAACACACACCATTAATCAACAAGACAGAGCAATTCAGCATCAAATACTGTACAAAACATATGTACACACATTCACGACAAACGTGCAAAGCCATCTTGGAGTAGTTTTAATTAACAAAATGTCATGAGTTTGTGAGTATGGCTTTACGCCGCTTTTAGCAATATTCCAGCACTTTCACAGCAGGGGACACCAGAAACGGGCCTCACACATTGTACCCATGTGGGGAATCAAACCCGGGCCTTAGGTGTGACGAGCGAACGCTTTAACCCCACTACCCCCAAAATGTTATGACAATATCATATGAGAGAGGGTGTGGGGATTTGACATACTAAAAGAGTGTGGTCACAAGAATGGATTTTACACTCTGTAGAGCACAAAACCAGTTCTTCTGCACTACTGGCCAAGGGATTAAACTCTTCAATACCCAACCACCCTAAATAGAACTTAGAATCCTAAACATTTGAATGACAAAAATTCCTGACAAGAAGTTCAGATTTGAAAAAAAATGAGTAAATAAAGATTATTCCAATTTTCTCCAACAAGTAACAGAAACAAGTTACCTCTGAAATCATCAGTGTGTGTCTTGGTCCCGCCTCCTGATCGATGCAAAGTGTAGGTGGTTCTTGTGGCATTTTTGCCACCTAACATTGCCTCGTGAGACTGTTTAATAATCTTAGAAGGACTCTTGGTGGGTGATGAGCAAGATTGCTGTACTTCAACTCGTAATCTCTTTATGGCATTCACAGCAACTCGGAGGTAGATGTTTTTATTGGTGGCTCGCTTGTACACAGCAGCCTCTTCTTCTTGACCTTTCTTATACGCCTCTTCTTCCGTCTTACATATCTTGAGGCATTCGTCTATTATGAGATTCAGGTAGCGCTGACGAATGTTACTTGGAACTTTACTCCCAAACTCCGCAGGTATCGTAGGACGTTTCACATTACTCTGGAACGTAAGAATTGCCTTGTGGTAATATTTTCAAACAGATTCAAACCATAGTCTCAAAATTTATACATAAAACAAAATCTAATAGATTGTTTTAGTTGGTTGGTTTGTTGTTTAACGCAGCACTCAGAAATATTCGAGCTATATGATGGCGGTCTGTAAATAATCGAGTCTAGACCAGACAATCCAGTGATTGATTTCATGAGCATCAATCCACGCATTTGGGATCGATGACATGCATCAACCAAGTCAGCGAGCCTGACCACCCGATCCCATTAGTCGCCTTTTACGACAAGCATAGTCACCTTTACGGGTCAGATTGTTTTAGTCGTACAGCATAAATATCAGCTTGCCAATTATGACAAATTAATCAATCATCAGCCAGTCGCTGTGAACTAAAAGTACATTTTCAGAAAGACTTTTAAACGTACCAGTGTTGGAGCATGGGCTTTCCTCTTCTCCCCTCGGGCCACTGTGATAGCAACAGTTCTCTTGTCATCGTCTCTGTCATCCACACTTCTCTGTCTGTTTGCTTTCATCTTCGGGGTATGAGCTGTTCGCTTTTGTCCCCCTCCCATGCTATGAGACGAACTTGACCCTGATGCAATCTACAGAAACACATGTCATTTACTTTTAGAGATACATCATTCCAATTTTGATCAGGATATGTGAGTGAATGAATATTGTTTTATGCCACCGTCAGCAATCTCAAAGTGATATCACATATGCCCATAAACAATCAACTCAAACTTTGTCAACCAAAGCAGTGATTGACAGCATGAGCAGGTCACGATGACATAATAACAATAATCAGTATAAAAAAAGAATTCTTCAATACCATCAATTGTCATTCAACATCAACTCACTAAATATTACTAATTCAGAAAATAAAAAATAACCACATAGGCAAAGATATTCAAGGCTGTGGGTTGAGGCTAGTGATTAAATATTTCAAAAAAGATGATTCAAACAAGATACCCTGAAGGTGCTCACAGATTTGGCAGTTAATCTCCAGCTCTGACATACAGAAGCAAGCATGCATCTACATAATGTGATACTGTCATGGCTGTGGCAAACCAAATAAGCTTGATTTGTAATCTCCCTAGGGAGCTGACAAAAAAACTGAAATACACAATGACCCCAGTTAAAGTAGTGCCATGAGCACAAATGAAAGTGTATATAATGCCCCCCCGATTCTTTCATAGTGCTATAGTTATTCTGTTGTTGCATGACAGATCACTGTATGATCAACTATAGAAATATGAAAGAATCGGGTGGTTCTTAACTATGTTTGTGCAGTATCAATATGATTATTATGGACTACTGAAGCATTGATGCATCTACATACTGCAGCTTGGGCATCCGCCACAGCCTTCCTGGCCTCTGCCGCCTCCAAGGCCCGTCGCTGCATCTCCATCAAGCGATTGTGCATCACCTCTGCAGGACTCATCTTCACGGCCGGCTTCGGAGCTGCCCGCTTGGATGGCTGCATGGAGAGGGGCAAAGGACTCACTGCATGTGACTTCTCATATCATAAATCTCAAAGAAAAACTTCAAATCACAGTTCCAATATTTTAAATGATACAAACTTTGATATCCATCGATTTCACAGTAATCATGGTAATAATGTCTAGATTGACATGCAGCCATTGTCACACAATGATGACTGATACAGACTTATCTCCGCAGTGATTAGTGTGTCAGTTAAAAGGGGGAGTGAGTGAGTTTCACGCTGCTTTGAAGTTATATCTTTTACGTCAAAGCCTGTCAGCTTAATGTGGGAGGAAAGCCCGAAGTGATGCAGGTCACAGATGTTTACCACTTCGGTGAAACCCACGAGCATGTGTATGGTGCTGACAAACCTAGAAATATAACTGGGGTGAACAGGAGATTCTAACCCACAATCACAGGTTTCTGTGCCCAAGGGAAGCAACTCTGCACAGCAGTGCCTTAGTTGACTGGGCTGCCCACTGTAATTATCTAGAAGTGGCATCGCTCAATCCTAAACCAATCAGATGTCTCCGTTTGTTGGAACCCCAAAACGTGATTGTAGCTAACATAGTTTGATATGTTGAAATTGATTCTGTCTCGTTCTTGGTCAACATTTGCATTTTTCACAGAAACAGGTACTGTGTGTGTACCTGTGTTGTATAACACCACACTCAGCAATATTTCTCAATCCTAAACCAATCAGATGTCTCCGTTTGTTGGAACCCCAAAACGTGATTGTAGCTAACATAGTTTGATATGTTGAAATTGATTCGGTCTCGTTCTTGGTCAACATTTGCATTTTTCACAGAAACAGATACTGTGTGTGTACGTGTGTTGTATAATACCACACTCAGCAATATTTCAGCTATAGTCTGGACAAATAGTGAGTACAAATTCCCAAACTGACCAATTCATGTAGTTATAACCAATGATTACCAGTGTCACAGGACCAAAAAAGATGATCGAAAAGGCTTTAGTGCTTAGCTTTGCACTATTTCATTGAAAACAACATTAAAATACCTTCTCATTTAAGAAAAAACACACTTTAACTGTTAATTTCCCCAAGGTTGCTTGCCAAGGCCTTTAAGTTTGGAAACTTAGATAAATGCCGGATGATTGTACAGAAACGTGTCTCACCCTCACATCACCTGCATGTGCCAATCTCTTCTTCCCCACCACCTGGGAGGTGCCAGCATCTCTTGACTCACTGTGTTCCCTCTGAAGAAGACATGACATGTACACAATGATTCTAAAACTAAGTTGGAGTGAGTCAGTATGGTTTTACACCGCTTTTAGCAATATTCCAGCAATATTATGTTGGTGGCACCAGAAATAGGCTTCACACATTGTACCAATGTTGGGAATCGAACCCTGGTCTTCGGCATGACGAGCAAATGTTTTAACCACTAGGCTACCCGACCTGCCCCGGTGATCGCTATAAGAAGGAGTGAAGGACTTATCAGGTGTCATAGCACATACAATTTTTAAGCAGTTTTCCAAAACAAAGGGGATCCTGGGCTCCTTGGGGTTTTGCTGCAATGTTGAACCTAGGGACTGAACTTGAACTTAGCCTGAATCTTCTATTCCTAACATTGAAGCAGTGATAAGGACCCCTTGACTTTAATCTTCAACACTGGTTATACATGTATACTACTCAAAAGAAGATAAAGAACACATGATTATTTCCTATTTCTATAGTAAGTCTGTCATGGCATGTCATTTAACAGAAAACTAAGTTGGAACAATGGTTGGAACAAACTATTGCCTTAATCATGATAATAACTTCAACATGTTGAAAATAGAAAGACAAAGATAGATTAAGAAATATTTAATAAGTATCTTTATCTTTCTTCATACGACATATTCAAACAACAAGAGCAAGATGGAGGCATAATTAACTCAGAAACAATTTTGTGCTTCTCATTCTGAATAATTATTTTTGATAAAATCAAGTGACACATCAAATTTGCTATCTGAGGGTCCATCTGTATCATACTTAATAACATATATAATTGGTAACGGTAATGACTGTAAAATGAACAGATGTCCATTGATAAACAACTCTTAACAATTACCATGTGATTACCTATAAAATCACAAAGTCGATATTTCAACAAAATCCTCTTACCATATCATATACAAAGGTCTACGGCACATGAGCATGATGAGTACTTATACCAAGATATTCTATTTCTAAAACATAAATCTCTTTGTTTAAGTTGCAATGTCATGTATCATCGGCGATAGAAACTAACTGTTTTAGTCCACTAGTCTTTATAATGACATCATCACTGATCATATAGCCAAACCCTCAAAAATGGCAAATTTCTACTAATCTTTATGATATCTTAACTATTGGGCAGTTTGGCAAGGACTATGGAACTAGTGCCAATTTCTACCACTGTATCATGTGAACAGGAGCTATAAAAATGAATATTGTTTAACAAAGCAGTCAGTACTATTCCTGCTATATCACATGAGCCTGTAAAAACCCTACATATCAGATGATGTGAGCAACACCCAACACCTTCAGGGTAGGATGAAACGTAAATCAAACGTCACAGAGCCTAACCACCACATCCATCTTTTTGCTTCGTCTTTGAACTTACTGAGAAGTCTGATTACTGAACATGCTAAATAAAATATTTAAAAATGTCTTAAAAATTCAATAAGCAAAATATTTACTTTCAATTTTGTTGCCTTGATGATATTTCATCTCCATCTGGTTAGAAACACTTCAACAAATTAAGCTCTATACATCAAGTTGTCTTGGAGGAGTTATTAAAAACGGTTGACTGAGAGATGATGAAATATGACACCCTTTGCACCAGACACCCAAAATACATATGTAAATATTGGCTCAAGTGAACAGATAAATAACTTACTGCTGCCTTTTTCTCCCTGGGCTGTTTCTTAAATGATGCAGCCTCCTCGTTGAATATTTTTAAGCACTCCTCGAACGTGTCTGTCTCACATTCAAAATCACTGTCTTCAAGGAACATGGCCAACTCAGCATCTGTCATGTCATGTGAATTATTGTTGGACTTTTTACCCAACGTCCCTTCCTCCTCGCTTTCTGAACCAAACAAATCAGCATTGATATGTGCCAGATTTTGGTCCTTATCATTCTTACCACCTTTATCCTTGGGACTTTTAGAAGATGAAGATGAAGATGTTGACTTTTCATGTTTGTTTTTATTTTCCTTCTCTGACTTGGAGCTGCTTTTACTGGAGTGCCCATGACTATGAGAACTAGTGGAGGATCTACTGTGGCTACTATGGCTCTTTTTAACATCACCTTCCTTCGACTTATCTCTCGAGTCTCGGTGGTGCTCTCTCTGATGTGAACTGTCTTTGGAAGATGATCTTGGTTTATGAGAGCTACTATGAGATTTCTGAGAATCTGATTTATGCTTCTTTTCCGAACTTGAAGAGTGGGAGCTTTGTTTCTCCTTATCATGCTTAGCTGAGGAGTCTTTTGTTCGAGATTTATCTGATACACCATTTTCTTTGTGTCTGGATTTGTCTTTTTCTGAATGTTTAGATTTGTTATGATTAGCACCATTAGAACCATGAGATTTTTCACTTGAGGAACTTCTTTTATGACTGGAGGAGCTATGTTTTGTACTTTTATTATCCGACACTTTATTACTTTTGCTACTGCTAGTAGATTTGTCCTTCTTTTTAGAAGCATCACTTCCCTTCTCACTAGAACTAGACTTAGATGAACTAGAATGTTTAGAAGACTTGTCTTTCAATTTGTTATCAATATCTGTCTTTTCACATTTGTCTTTCTTATTATCACCAGATGGTTTATCCCCTTCTTTTTTTTCAGTAGACATTGATTTTCGAATTGGATGTTTCAACTCATTTTCGCAAATTTCAACTTTCTTGTCCACAGCTGGTTTATCTGAAATGGTGTCTTTGAAAAAAGACTTAACTGCAAAAATTTCACTGACTTCCTCATCTGACTCTTCCTCAAGGGGAGACTCATATCTCCCTGAATCCATAATTAATTCAGAATCATCCTCATGATCATCATCACTAAACATAGCATCATCCGAACCACCAAACTCGTCCATAAACATATCTTCCTCCCCTTCTATCTTGGAACGTTTTGTCGGCACATACACAACCTCTCCTACATCATTGGGAGGTTGATTGGTGGAGTACATATAGTTATTGACTGGATCATACTCCGATTCAGTATCTGGTGTCTTCTTCATCCTCTTCAGCTGATTTATAGGTGTGGGATTATACTGAGGCACAGCACTTGGAACATACTCAGGAATAACATCCGGTACTCCTGGAGGATTAGCTCTACGTTTCTTTGCCTGAGACTTTGACACTTTTGGTAACCCACTTGGAACATAACTGTCTAATTTAGACTTCTTGGCCACACTGCCAGGTTTGTACACAGGTGTCTTGTCTGGTTTGGTTCCGGGTGCATGATTTGGTTCGTATTCCGGCACCTCTACTGCAGGTCCTCCTGGCTTGTACTGACAGTCTGTTGAGTTCTGCCTTTTCTTCCGCCCACCTGTAATGTCATATTTTGGCGTGGGCTCATACAAAGGTCCTTCGGAATCGTGGCCATCGACAGAATATTCCTCAACATCGTCTGCCTTGAAAGGAACTCCACAAGTATTCCCTGTTGGACCAGATTTGCTTAGGTAACCTCCAGACCCCACAGGCTTTGATCCTGTTGGGCCACTGCACTGTAAGCCTCCATGAGTGAGGGCAGGATCAATGGGAGAAGACGGTCGACTTCCTCCCACATAATTGGAAGAGGATGTGTATGTAGATGATGCATCTACAAGCAAAGGGAGTTCAGTGTTAATTGATGTCGGTATAGTAAAGCGGTTTCCCTGCTAATTATCAGCATAAGTGGCAGTGTGGCAGTGTCTGACAAATGGCCTTAACATTTAAGGGTTTATGTGTGTAGGAAGCATGTTGGGACAACAAATCCATTTTGTGTGCAATAAATCATCACTGAGCATCCCCATGGCCCTGGTAAGAGCAAGTGCTTATCTAACTTTTATAGGTTGAAGCTGGACTGCTCCCTGTAGGATTACTTACAGTCCACCATCAGGCTAAGACAGCACTGTACAGTGAACATAAGAGTTATAAATAATATATTAACCATTTTGAGGGAGAGTTGTGTACCTAACTTGGGCTGGGACGAGTCCAAATTTACTACCCGGGTACCCACACCCCAATTACCCGACCCTACCCGGGTACCCGCTGTTGGTGTCAAGAGATAGGTACAAAATGTCCAATTGGGAATAGTTTGACAGCAGCCCTGGCAGAATGTATTTAGATACACGTATATAACGAAGTGGTCATGCATACACCAAAGTTGACTGAAGTTTTAGCTTTGTTAATACATATATAAGTCAGAAGGAACGTGTTCATATTCATGAAGAAATGCGAACATTAGAGACTTAAAATTGTCATGTAACAATGTAGTTATATAGTAAATTTTTGTCATGAAACAATATACTAGTATCACGTGACTAACCACGGGTCCGGGTAGTCCTGTTGGTACCCAGGTCCCACTCAGTACCCACCCGACCCGAGTACCCGAGTTACCCGTCCCAGCCCTATACCTAACATATTGAGATGGATCAAAAACTGTTTATAGATGGCGATGTTTAAACATACAAAATCTTAAAAACGTAGTATGAATATACAGTGCCATTTTTGCAAGCAAAGCGTAAGCTGTTATCAAAATCAATTTCAATTTCACTATGGCCTGGTAAATGTAGTTTCATGAAATTTACAATTTCATAACCACTCACAGCATAAACTGACATCAGAACATTAAGGTCTTAATACTGTCTGAACAGAAATGGTCATTTGGTCACTATAAAATAAGTTTCAGTTATCTTATCATGCTTACTGTTGATTTGATCACTAAATTCTACAGAGTTAAAAAACAAATAGTGGTATCGGTTTCGTCTCTAACAATAAAATTAGAATATATATAGAATATGATTATTCTGAACCATCATAATGTTGTCACATCATCATGAACCTCCATTTATTTTAAACGAAAACAAAACTTCCTTTGTTTATTTCTTTGACATTCTATTTCTGAAACAGGTGCCCCTTTTTCTCACCTCGGCACCCATCCTTCTTAACGTGTCTCAAATGACAATATGGCCTTTCGCATAGTCCACTTAGGTAGTAGGGACAGTCAACTCCTTTGAAATAGCCAGAAGTTGCAAACATGTCTTATGAAATGGTGTATTTGGTTGTGAAATCATGTGTAATTTGCATTGACAGCCCTTTTACAGAGCGCCGCCATATTGATTCTCGCGAATTATCGCAGGTGTTGGAAAACATTTTTAATATTCTATTAACATTGCAAACATCACTTTATATCGTAATGTCAAATTATCGCCAAATATCAATTCACAGAACATATCTTTCGTTTTGGAAAAAAACAAACGTTAAAAAGATTAACAAGGGGAGGTAACTCGCAGGAGCAAGCGCCATGCTCAGAGGTACGGAACTGAAAGCCAAATAAATGTTAGAAGAAATGTAAAGAAAATACACTCCCACCCAGAAAGACATTCTGACAGAGTCGCGTGGTTGTAATGTATATCGTATTTCCTATTTTTACTTTGCATAAGTTGTATCAATTGATAACTTACGACTTCACAGTAATCAAAAACATGATTTTGTCTTGAAACGGGAAATATAAGAACAAGGATATGTCATCACCTTCTGAAACATGGAATAGATATCTGCAGCAGTTATTTTATGTCCACAAATCAAAAATGTTTTGTTCTGAAATGTTATGAACAGTTCACTCATAAACGTTAATGCTGGTCACTATTTTGCAGAGTTATTCCCTTACACTTGAAATGTGAAATCCCTATTCACAACACATTCTCTTTCCCAGTTTGGAATATCGTGGATTCAGTCTCCCAGAACATGCAGAAAGGAGTTTCATGTAAACTTATTTACCCTCTACAACATGTGGGATAGATCTAAATAGCCAATGTGGAGAGGCCTGTGGATATTTGACTATAAGAATCCAAACATTTTCACAAAACTCTTCAATGCATAATTTAGTATTGTCAATAACTTATTGGTTTCTTTTCATGCTCATGCTTTACAATTGGTACTTATGAATGTGTCATTGATTCTGTCTGGTTAACTGTTATTATCGTTATGCTGCTTTTCTAAGCTTTATACTTTTCCAAATCAATGTTTCCTGTTCTGCTTACTTGGTTTTTGTGAACTATGAGTAAATATGCTCATTTCAGTGCATGGATAAGATTATGCAATGTTGAGAGAGAATCATAATCATGAAAATAATAACTTTCCCACCAAGTAGTCCATAGCCCCTGTTTTAATACCTGGTATTTCGACTGAACAGTTCAGTTAGTAACTTATCCAAAGGAGATATTTCATGTAATATGTAAAACTACACTAATCTGACTTTTACCTTTACCTTTGTTTACTCTATTCAATTGGATTTGAACATATGGGACATTTTACAATATGAAGTGTCTGTAGCCCAATATTTTTAGATGTTTAGATTTTGATTACCAGGTATTTTCAGAAGAGAAACAGCTACTTATAGTTTATTTACATCATTTTCAATTATGTTTTGTCTTTCTCAGACAGGAATAAAGGCTGTGTACTTTGCATTTGGCCCTCGTGTGTCCAGTCAGATAAAACACATACCTTCCCTCATTGCTTTCTTGAATAAACTGTCCATGTCAAGAAACTTTTTTATATTTCTTCAATGATATATAGAATTTTGTAATGTCTGTAGCCCATGGGATGTTTATGATGAGTTTGAGACAAAACCGGATGAAAATAAGAAAAACTCTTTTCGGGCATAAAAGTGCTAATATAGACCTTTTATTTTCTTACCCCACTAAGCAATTTAATTGCGCATGAAATTTCAATAAAAGTGCAACATAAATGTGACCCCAGATTTTGACCAGACCAATTAGATAATATTGGCAAGTGTTAATTTCTATCTTTGACATATAGATGGTAATGAATACACATCGTCTTCGAGCATGTTTTTTGCTTCATGCTGGCTACTTCATATCAGTTGTTGCATTGTTTTCATTGTTTGTGAAGGGACATCATATGAATGCATTGTGGCAAATAATTGAAGATGACATCATCCATAGCTTACATCATCACAAACGATTTCATGTAACATTGTTCCAATATTAATTAAATATGGAAAGTTTCTGCCAAGGCTTACAATCTTATTTCAAAAGGTACTGATAATCTGTAATTCCTTGGACCGCCTCCATGGTCTGCACGGATGGTGGAAGGTTGAGGGTTCGATCCCTGGCTACGTCATACCAAATGACATTAAAAGATGGTACTTGTTGTTACCCTACCTGGCTCTCGGCATTTAAGGACTAAACAAGGATCTAAACAAATACTGGTTGGCTCGGAGTTGAGGTGAGGTGTGTGTGTTTTGCTTATTTTATAGTGCTAGCCAAAACATACAGTGGACTTTCATAGTCAGTTAACTCCCTTGCCACGGGAAGATGGTATACTGTGTCTGAGTGTGGCATTGATGTTAAACTGCAGCATGGTATGTCAGTGGGCTAACACTTTTAAGTCGGCAAGACACACTCACCTCACCTCACCTCACCTCACCTCACCTCACCTCACCTCACCTCACCTCACCTCACCTCACCCTCCACCTCACCTAACCTCACCCTCCACCTCACCTAACCTTGTAGTTCACAGGTTATTATCTAATTCGTTGCATCAACAGATTTTGGATGGCAGCACAAGGGAATGAACACAGGGGGGGCCAGAGAAGGAGACGGAACAGATCAGCCAATCAGAGACAGTACGACGATGGGAGTGGCAGGAATGGTTCCTATGATGACTCCCACCACCAAGGAGCCTACCAGCCCATGGGAGGAGGCGGAGGGGGTGGACATTATCACCAGATGGATCATCCACCTTCCTACCATCCGGGCAACAGAGCATTGGCTCTAGACCCCAGGACAGGCCGTCCGACTGTGATGCCCTACCAACCCCATCCCCAACACTCAGGATATCCTGGCCCCCCTAGGCAACACAGCCAGGGCCCCAGTAACCCACAGAACGATGGTGGGGGTGGGCAGAAGAAGAATAGGAACAGAGGGAAGGGGAGGGAGAAACAGCAGCAGCCTCAGCAACAACAACAGCCCCAGCAGCAACAGACAAAACAGCAACAGCCACGACAGCCGCAGCAGCAGCAGCAGCCCAAGTTGAAAGGAAACCAGGCTGTTAAGGGTCAAGATCAGAGTTCAGTGAATGCATCTAGTGGAAGTAATGGTGGAAGCAGGAACGTTGGCCAGCAGAACAAGGCAGTGCAGGAGAATAGGAAGAAAGGGGGAGCTGATGGTAAGCCGGGATTTGGAAAATTTGTAATTTCTATTTGGGAACTTTTACAGACATTTCCTGCAGACTTGGGGGTCAAATATTGGCCTCCGAGCAGTCTAGGTAAATCCCTGTAATCATGGTCAAGGAAAGTAGGGTCAGGCCATATAATTTTTCTTGTCTAATGGGTAAGCTTATTCAGTTGATTCAGAAGTCTGTATAAGTAAAACAATAATCAAGGAATTATGAAATGTGTGTCTATTGGAAGTATTCTGTTTATTTAAATCTTTTATAAGGATGATAATAATTTAAGCAATGCACAGTTTTAATAATTTTGTTTTGTTTCTTTCTAGATTCTGAAGAAAAGGTTGATGGTTCCACCCTAAGGGAAATGGAAAAACAGAAAGTGTTTCCCTTGAAAAAGGTATTTCTTGTTTCATTGTCCAGTTTATTTTGTTTTGTGAAAGTTTGATATTCTCCCTTTGCAGAGTTACAATAATTGCATTGATATACATAAAGTGCCCCCCAAAACTTTCAGTTCCATTTTTCAGTAATATTTGTGTGTTCAGTCGGGGGGTTTTAAAACTCGAAATACCACTGGTGTGTCTGATGCACACTTAAGCGCTTTTAACATGATAAACGACTGTATAACAGGTATTGTGTGAAAGCTGAAAGGAGCATGAAATACAATCACCCCCTAATTTCTACCCCAGTCCCTTGTCTTGCCCCTGGCGTATAGCATTTGCATATGGCATCGGAATAAAAAGCAAAGCATTATAACCTGTTCGTATTTATTGGTTTTGTTATTGTTGAATACAGGTTAATTTTACAAAGTCTTAAAATTAGTTACCGTATTTGACGTAATAAGCGCCAGGGGCGCTCTCAAAATTAGAAATAGGGGGCTCTTATAAGAATATTATTTTGGTGAAAGATAAATTTCGTGGTTTATGCTGACAGCCTGAAATGTTTATGTACGACAGATATATTTTTCAAGAATTTAATTGCCCATAACTAAAGGTGTATATAACACACAAGTGCGTATTATACGAGAATAAATAAGTCATGTGTACATTGATCAATTGGAAGGGGTGCTAATTGGGATTGTTCACTAGCCAATAAATAGCAAATATCGCCGTAGGCGCTTATTACGTCGAATACGGTATTAGTCATACATGTATATATTAATACATTGTATCATCAATTGGGAAATGTTTAGTTCCAAATTAGGATATTTTACTGACATTTGCTGCAGACTTGGGGCTGAATGCTAGCCTCTGAGCAGGTCCTTGGGAGATAGTGCTGTCTGTCTTGTAACATCGATTGGCTTGAGTCTGCTTCTGGATCGATCATCAGGCATATGCTGCATCGATTGTTCTTAACAGCTATGCTGACAATGCCTTGAACAATGTCATATGTGAAAACATGTTCTGCATGTGTGTTTTCCCGCTCATGAGTTCTTGTTGTTTAACAACACTAGACAGTGTTCTAAATAATTTTTTTATTTCACTGTTTAGAACCAGCTTCCTCGTCTCGTCCCACTGTTGTAGTCTTTCAGGCTAGGGTTTGTGTACCCACCATCCCACTGTGGGATAAATTCATAGTGTGAGATAGGATAAGTTTCAAAATTTGGAAATTTCCTACAAATTATATATTTATTTATGTCACATCTCACACTGCAATGTGCCCACTCAACCATCCCCTCATCCCAGTTCCTGTAGCCTGCTAGCTCTGACTAAAGAGAATGATGAGGCAGAGATAGACACGTGATCAGGTCATGTAGGGTCGCTGTGCATGGGATGACGTACATGGCCCAGTTGTTGGACGGCATCCATGGTGATACTGTGATGTATTCAGGTGTATGTTTTTTAGAAGCTGGAAACTTTGTTCAAGCACATTTCCACATAGGATCAGACCGCCTCCGTGGTCTTGTGGTAGAGCGTCCGCCCGGAGAGCGGAAGGTCCAGGGTTCGATCCCGGGCCGCGTCATACAAAAAGACGTTAAAAGATTGTACTTGTTGTTACCCTGTCTGGCGCTCGGCATTAAGGGGCTAAAACAAGGACTGGTCGGCTCGGAGTCAGTATACTGTGTCTGAGTGGGGTATCCATGTTAAACTGCGGCATGGTATCTCAGTGAGCTAGCACTATAAATCGGCATCAGTCCGGACTAGTACAAGCTGCCACACATACACATGCATGCACGTCGCTATATAAGTGCAATAATCTTGGACGCGATGTTAAACCCAATTTCACCTCACCTCACCACATAGGATCAAGAAGAAATCCATAGTGTGAGAGAGAATAAGTATATAAGTGTATAATTTATAGGAAACCAGTTTTGTCATTTCTATGGAAACAAGGAAGACTTTCAATCGGTTAAGATTGAATCTGGCATATACGTGTATCGCAAACCATGCAATATTTCTTCTCCAATCAGTGCCAGAGTTATCACATGTCATCTCTTTATGAATCTGGTGGTGCCAGGGCCCACTTTCACAAAGCAATCTTAGCGCTAAGACTATTGTAAGCCTATGCTGAAGTATGGGAGTTGCGATCATCTTAGCGCTAAGATCGCTTTGTGCAAGTGGGCCCAGGTGTGTGATGGTTTATCAACACCGATGTACACATACGTTGTTTATTTTCTGTTTCAGAAATCAGTGAAGTTCCCAAGAGCCAAGTTTTTCTGTCGCCTGTGTGAGTACCATCTGGACAGGGTGCAGGACTACCTCAAGCATGTGTCGGAGCCAAGGCATAGACGGAGGAAGGAGGTACAGTTGTTTTGTTAGAAACTGTCACAATATATTCCAGGTTCCATGTCAGGCTTGCTTATCTACAGTTACCTAATTGTTTCAACTGTTCATCAGTGTGAAGGCAAATACTGAACTAATGAAAGTTAAAATAGTTTGCATGCATGTTTCTGGATCACTGTTGATAGAGCCCTTCTATAAAGACCATGCCTCTTTTTCAACATAGATGGTCAGAATATCAGTCTGTGGCAAAATCTTTTGATTCTTCTTGCGCGAACTTGTCTCTTAGTTTCATTTTTTTGTACATTCTGGTATTATGATATGGTTAATAATTAGCGAAGCGAACCAGGCTGATCTAAATTTGAATAGACTTGTGTTACGGAATAGTGGCTCAAGTTTCAGACTGTTAATTAACATTAATACAAGACTAGTAAGCTGATATTGCTGGTATGATCAGACGAATGTCATGTTGCTATGACATTGCTACTGTCTTGACTATGGCGACTATAACCATGATATTGCTAATGTGATTAGACTAGAGTGGCATCTCTATAATATTGCTTGTCTGATTAGACTAGAGTGATGGCCCTATCATATTGCTTGTCTGATGAGACTAGAATAATGTTGCATTTATATTGCTAAACTCAATTCTAGAGCTCACTTTGGTCACATTGTTGGTACTTCAGGTGACAGAATCGGAGAACACACTACGGTACATGCCCCCTCCCACCCAGAAGCAGGTGCTTGCCCTGGACGAGCTGCTGGAGTCAATACACGCTGACCACGGCCTGACCCAGGAGGAGGTGCAGCAGAGAAAGGATATTGTCAACAGGGTGGAGGACTTTATTCACAAGCAGTTACCTGGTCAGTGATTTTCTCTATGAAAAGATCCATCAGGGTGTCCATGTGGAGATTCAGGGGCAGAATAAGTACATTGCTTGCTCGTTGGCAGAATCGCCTGAGTATCAGATGGGTGTATGTGACATTCTGCTGTTTGTCCCTTACCGCTGTGCTTGTGAAACAGGGAACACTGTATTAGGCTCTGTCCGTACATGTCCGTATGTACATCTCATATTGTTTGTTTTTTCATGAATTTGGTTCAGACACCAGTTGATAATGGTGACCTTGACCTTACCATTTGCTTTTCAGGGTCATACATTTGACCAGTTTTCCATTTGTTCGCGAGATATCTCCAGAAACTCTGCAGGGATTTGTTTCAGATTTGAACCCCTATTTTCAAGGTCCTCAGAAGCATTTGACCAATACTACTGTTTGTTAGTGAGATATCTCAAACACTGTATGGATTTCTGTGGGAAATCCACAGACAGTGGAGAAATGTGGTGACCTTGACTTTATACTTCAATCAGGCCCTTCTGATATTGCTGACTGACTTAGTACAACATTCACTCACTCACTGTGAGACTTAGTGTTTTTGTATTGTTTTTGAACAGAATTTAATGCATGCAGACAGGAATGTTTTTATACAGTAGCAAGACAATATTTGTCTTTATTAAACTGATCAAGCTTCTTATTTACACACCTTCACTCCACCACAAACACATCTACAAGAGGCACATTAAATGTGTTGTCACTCTGTGGGACACTGATGTTTGTGACATCACAAGTAAAGTCAGTTCTGCCACCAACATTATTCATTGAGTGGTGAGCGATGCATATTGAGGATGTATTCATAAAAGTTCCTATTTGTAATTGTATTGACAGTTTTTGTCCTAGTTTTGTCCTCATGCAGCATGGCCTGTAGCACCTGTTTTCTTGTGTTCAGGGGGTGGTCTGGTAGCCTAGTGGTTAAAGTGTTCGCTCGTCACTCCGAAGACCCGGGTTCGATTCACTCACTCACTCACTCACTCACTCACTCACTCTTATGTTCAGGGGTGTCTCTCCAGCTGTATGGCTCCTCCCTCACTGGCTTCGGCCTCAAGTCCAGTGATGTCAACATCGATCTCTATGCAGCCGATATGGAAGGTCTACCCAAAAAACTGATCGAGGTTTTCAACATTCTCAAAACTGCAGGTAAGGTTGGCAAGCCTCAAATAAACATTACAGGTGACTTGAGTTGTGTATGTTTGAATATTTCTTTGTGAGATGTTTTTAGAGTTAGTTGTATCAATGTTATAAGGGAGCTCATTTGTTGTCAACCAGTGAAGATCATCCTCAGCAACCCATGCTTGTCGTAAGAGGCTTACAGGATCTGGTGGTCAGGCTCGCTGATTTGGTTGATACATGTTATCGTATATCATTTGCGTAGATTGTTGCTCATGATGTCAACCACTGGATAGTCTGGTCCAGACTTGACTATTTAGAGACTGCCGTCATCTAGCTGGAATATGGTTGAGTGCTGCATTAAACAACAAACATTTGGTGTCAGGAATGTTTCTGAGTTGGTTCCAACATCTTGATTGTTTGCACATAAGATCTAAACAAAATGTTGCTGACATTACATGAAGAAATCCTACTTTGTACTTGTTCTTGACCCGTGAAGATGCAGGTTAGAATAGGTCTTCAGCAACCTATGCTTGCCGTAAAAGGCGACTGTGCTTGTCGTAAGAGGTAACTAATGGGATCGGGTGGTCACGCTGGCTTACTTGGTTGATGCATGTCATCATATCCCTATTTTGTGGATCGATGCTCATGATGTCAATCAGAGGATTGTCTGGTCCAGACTCGATTATTTACAGACTGCCATCATATAGCTGGAATATTGCTGAGTGCGGCGTTAAACAACAAGCAAACAAACAAATACAGACCACCATCATGTAGCTGGAATATTGCTGAGTGCGGCGTTAAATAACAAACAAACAAACTTGTTCTTGAATTGTTTTGAGTGGAGCAGGGGCACTGATACTGTCTAAGGCACCACATAATCAGAACTCAGATTATGATCCTTAGCACCGTAACTGTGCTCTTGGATTTCACAAGAGTTGTAAACATCTATGTCTGTTCCACTTAAAGCCTTCTTCAAAATTAAGCTGTGATATAAAGGATATGCTGTATGTAGAGGTGTTATCTACTCACAACTAACCCATTTACAGAGGATCAATTCATCAACATACACAGCGACTTTTCGGCCAAGGTGCCAGCTGTGGTCTTCATCGACCCAGACACAAAACTGGAGTGTAAGATGACGATCAACAGTCGCCCAGCGACGGCAACAAGTCAGCTTCTAGCTGTGTACAGTGAGATGGACCCAAGAGTCAGGAAGCTAGCTGTCGCCTTTAGATACTGGGCCAAGGTAGGCAGAATTGTACCTTTCAGTTCTTTTCTTCTCTTGATTATTGTTGCTTTACCTGTAACTCAAGGAATCTAGATTTGTTTCCTTTTGCCTTTGTTTGCAGCTTCTTTATTTAGCTAAACTACCTTAGTATATACTTCAAAGTATGTACGTTCACTAATGTAATAGACTGCCTCCGTGGTCTAGTGGTAGAGACTAGGAAGGTCCGGGGTTCGATCCATGGCCGCGTCATACAAAAAGACGTTAAAAGATGGTACTTGTTGTTACCCTGTCTGGCGCTCGGCATTAAGGGGCTAAAACAAGGACTGGCCGGCTCAGAGTCAGTATACTGTGTCTGAGTGGGGTATTCATGTTAAACTGCGGCATGGTATCTCAGTGAGCTAGCTCTATAAATCGGCATCTGTCCGGACTAGTACAAGCAGCCACACAAACACACACACGTGCATGCACGTCGCTATATAAGTGCAATTATCTTGGACGCGACGATGACGACATCTACTTTATGTCAGTGATGGGTTGTAACATCTTGAAGCAGTCAGAAGTCAATAATGCATCTGGTACACACCCTAACTTTACCCGTGAAGTTCCGGGTTAGAATAGGTCTTCAGCAACCCATGCTTGCCGTAAAATGTGACTATGCTTGTCTTAAGAGGAGACTAACAGAATCGGGTGGTTAGACTCACTGACTTGGTTCAAAGGATGCATGTCATCCTATCCCCATTGCATAGATCGATGCTCATGATGTCAACCACTGGATTGTCTGGTCCAGTCTCGATTATTTACACACCGCAGTCATATAGCTGGAATATTGCTGATTGAGACTTTAAACAAGAGACCGACAAATCACCCTAACTTGCTTCAGTTCACTGTAGTATGTAAACAATAACATTCTAAAATTTAACATATATGACCATTCCAGAAAGCAATCTTTGTGCTACGATTGATATTAAACTATGGGAATAAATTATTTTGTCTTAACTCTAAAGTCAATTTACTAAACAAGGCCTTTGACACTTACCCGGTATCACTAGCCTCACATGCATATCGGGGGCACGGGTGGCCCAGTCGTCTAAGGCACCGCGGTTCACTGTGCAGAGTTGCGTCCCTTGGGCACACCAAAAACCTTTGATTGTTGGTTCGAATCCCGGTTCGCCCCGATTATGTTTCTTGGTTTGTCAGCACCGTACCCGTGCTCGTGGCTTCACCGAAGTGGTAAACGTCTGAGACCTGCATCACTTCGGGCTTTCCTCCCACATTAAGCTGACACGCAGTGATATAACTGGAATAATGTTAAAGGTGGCGTTAAACCCAACTCACTCACTCACTCACTCACTCACTCACTCACTCACTCACTCACTCACTCACTCACTCACTCACTCACTCACTCACTCACTCACTCACTCACTCACTCACTCACTCACTCACTCACATGCATATCATGACATGTAGCATTGTTGTCTTTTCAGTTTGTTCAGAAGTAGTTATGTTTTGCAAGAAAGTGTTAAAAAATGTTATGGACAGAGCGAATTATGTGCTTGAATCATTCTGAATTGCATGTTCCGATGATTCATCAGTAACATTGTTATACAACAATTAATGGTAAGCAGTTTTGAACAATTGTGGAGATAAATGCTATTTGATCTGAACAAATCTTCAATCCTTGATCTGTAAATGATAACACATAACTTTTAAACATATCATCAAAAGGCAACCAGTCAAGCATTTTCATTTTTCAAATAAGATTCTTAAAACTTCAGTACAGAAGACTTAAAAAATAACAGTCTTGGTTCTCAGGCACTGCCTGCATCATCATCATGATCATAAAGTCGGCGCATGTTTCGTTTTTATTTTCATTTAATTTTTTTTTTTAAATCCTAATGTTTAATTGCGATCCAACATAGCATGCAGTTTCTTCCCTTTTCATGCGCACTGCTTTACTGCGCATCTCGTGTTATGGTAATGGCAGCAATAGGAGTTTGTATGCTTGTCTATGAAGGGAGGTCCTGTCTATTCGGTTACAAACCCGCCTGCACTATATTTTCAAAAGTCATTGCCTGAGAACCAATTCTTTTCTTTTTTTTAAGCCTGAAAAGGGGTTCTTAAAAATTAGCATCTTTGTATTTGACTGATTTGTTCTGACAAAGTGATTGTGCACAACCTCATGGCTGTTTCAGGTGTGCCGTCTCGATGTCCAGAGTGAAGGCACCTTGCCGGCCTATGCCACGTCACTGATGACGGTTTTCTTCCTACAACAACTGCAGCTCCCAGTATTACCTGTTTTGGCGTCGGTCAGTATGATTTATTATTTACTGTCATAACCTTAATGAGAGACTAGTTTCATTTCGCTTTGCAAGACCTTGCACATTTGATTCAGGTTCTGCTGAGACGTTTACCTGTCAAATGACATTTTGTCAAATAAATAAATTGCAGGTGATTCTGTGGCATTTGTCTGGCTAACCAATCAGTTTTGGGGGGCTGAAAAATAATAATGCCCATGCCCAGTAACTGACTACTATTCTGATTGGCTGATAATAGAATGGGCAGTAGATAGTAGAATGATTTCCTGCTGTCGTCTACACCTTTTTGTATGTTAAAGATTAAATAAGCAGTCTTTTAAGTTGACAGTTGACTTCAATATGGTTGTGTGTTTATGGAGGTGTAAACATGAATATGCTGACCGTTTTTTACATTTTATAGCTATATATAAGATGGCTTCGCGATAAATTGCCCAAAACAAAACATTGTTCGAACATGACCTCATTTCTGGAGATTCGAACATGCGCTCGCAACTTGATGACGTATATTGTACAACGTTATTTTTGAGAGGAGAGTGTCTGGTGAGTTGTTCCCCTTAGATTTAGCTGGGGTACACAGATAAACGCCATGGCCGAATGATAGCATCCAAAAGCGGAAGAGATATGAAAATCAGTATTGGGAGAAAAGGTACTGGTAATTGACGTGAGGATTGTGAGAATATGCAGAAAATATCCGCCTGTGCTTGAAATGGACTTGTCCAACATTTCCGAGGTCGGATTCTGTCATCATTATTAAAATATGGGTAAATATATTACATTAAGTAATACGTTACCACTGTTATACCGAGGCTGTTGTCTCCCACAACTGCTGCTATAGCGAAATCTACCACGGAGATCTCAATTACCTCATGCAGCACGTGCGTAGCCACCTAGCTGCCATGTGACACCCTTCACTCTTGTCTCTTCGCTTGCTCTAGCAAGACGTACAATAAACTGCTCAAGCGTTCCAGTTTCTCCGACCATTCGGTGATATTTATTACTGTTTATTCTCTCTAATAAACTGTGCTTGTACGGGGCGTTTGCTGTAACTACGCTTGGAAATATTTTCCCGCCAAAAGGAAATATTTTTCCCGCCCTTTTTTTCTATATACTTGCGGGGTGTCTCGTATGCACGTTGCGTCTTACGTTCCCCTGTTCTAGTATATCTTGGGGTTTTTACATCACTTATACCTCTATATGTTATATGTGTATGTTCTATATTCGCATTGCTCGTTTATTTTCTTGTGAAAATACTCGTTTGTGACTCTTTGTGGTGCGTGTGTTGTAACCATGTTTTGCTCTTTGTTCATAGTACAAACAAAATGTCTGACATGGATGTTTCGCCGTCCTCCACCCACTCTACCCCCTCTACCCCCGCAACCAGGAGCTGCGGGGTGTGCAGCAAGCGAGCGCTACCGGCTGTATGTGCAGTCCGTTTCCACCCCTGTGGTGGCCGGCTCGTCCGGTCGGGGTCCCCTTGCGGGTACCACCACCATGGCTGCGGCGGATCCCTTGGCGGCCCGTGGGCTGTCCGGGGATTCTGTCGCTGCATTACTTGCATAACTTGTGGACTCCAAGCTGGCGGCCTTATCTCAGGATAGGCCGCTGGCTGTTCCATCCCCGGCCACTTAGGTGTAGCCCCGCCCTGAGGGCTCCGGTATGGGCAATCAGCTGCCCTTTCGCGGGAAGACGGGGAACTGGGGGAAGCCCACGTCGTCTAAGGACGGCAAGGGCCCCTCCAGGTGACTCTCATTGGAGGGGTTCATATGCCGACAGGGCCATCTTCGGTTGGCCCTTAGGTGAACCCGAGTCACTTGGCCCTTGACAGTTGCGCCTGCCGCAGCCTGTCAGGGCCCCCTTTCCTTCCCCAGTGGGAGCCAGACTCCAGACTTACTGGGAGGATTGGGAACAAGTGTTCGACGACCCGTGGGTGGTCAACACGATTCGGTACGGCTATCGGCTTGATCTCAAAGCGAATCCGCCGCTCACCGTTGCCCCGTTGGCAGGTTTCGATTCGGAAACCCATCTTCCCATCCTCGCCGATGCCATTGGCAGGTTGGTGGAGAAGGGGCAGTACGGGAGTTAGCTCTACCAGAAATAACACCGGGGTTTTACTCAAGGATATTTCTCGTTCCCAAGTAGGACAGTGCCGAACTCAGAATGTTTCACACGTCCGCTCCCTGGCTGTTCACCCGGTTAACCACCCCCATAGTGGGGTTCCTCCACAGGAGGGGTGTCCGGTACTTCGCGTACCTGGACGACTCGCTAGTAGCAAATCGAATGACGGACACCCTGTCACGCCATCTCGTTTTCGCACGTCGGCTCTTCGAGCAATTGGGGTGGATTATCAATCTCCCCAAGAGCGAGTTAACCCCTTCTCAGAACTTGCTGTTCATCGGAGGTCGGTTCAACAAGGTGTCCCATCGTCTCTTTGTCCCCCCAGACCGGTGGCACAAGATTCAGGCGATGATTGCCAAAGTCTTAGCGGTGCAACAGACTGTTCACTTTTGGGATCAGCTGTTAGGGCTACTTGTATCAGCCCAGGACTGCACCGAACGGGGTCGTCTCCAACTCCACCCGCTGCAACGGTTTTTAATCCAGTTGTTAGCAACGGAGGTGAACAGTGCGACCGTCGCCCTCCCAGATTGGCTCTGACCGCATCTGGAGTGGTGGACGGTCCCTTACAATGTCTTATCAGGAGTCTCCATGCGGCCCTACCGGGCCACATTGAACCTGTATACAGACGCCTCTCTAGTGGGCTGGGGCGCCCTTCTAGAGGGGGAGGTGAGCTCGGGGCTGTGGTGCGTAGACGAACTAGGTCTTCACATCAATTGTCTCGAGTTCAAGGCAGTGATCAACGCAGTCAATCACTGGAAGCATCGTCTCGTCGACGCCCAGCTCATGCTGGCGACCGACAACACGACGGTAGTGTCCTATGTGAACAAACTGGGGGGAACCCACAGTCACTCGCTACTCGATCTCACGTTCGAGTTTTACGCTCTGGTGGACAGTGTCCCGTGCCAGATACGCGCCCGTCACATCCCCGGTGTGCGGAACGTACTGGCCGATGCTCTATCGAGGCCTCGGGATCCGAGCCCCACAGAGTGGATGCTGAACCTAGTAGTGTTTCAGTGGCTGTGCGAACGTTTGGGTCGTCCGATGGTCGACCTGTTCGCAACGCGGTTCAACAATCAACTCCCGTTGTTTGTATCACCAGTCCCGGACCCGAGGGCCATCGATCACGATGCTCTCGCGTTAGACTGGACGGGCTTGGACGCTTATGCTTACCCGCCGACAGCGTTGATACCACACATTCTAAGCCGGCTCCGAGGAGTTCGCTGTCGAATGTTACTGATCGCGCCCATGTGGCCGAACAGATCGTGGTACCCTGACTTGCTGACCCAGGTCACGCAGTCGCCACTTCCACTGCCTGTGAGACCGGATCTCTTGATCCACCCTCACACCCGTCAGCTTCATCCAAACGCAGGGCAGTTCAATCTGCACGCGTGGATGTTGTCACCGAGCGTCTGAGGAGTAAAGGTTTTTCTCGCCGGGCGTCTCGGGCATACGTTAGTATGCATCGTGATTCTACCCAGAAGGTGTATAATGCACGTTGGGTTATTTTCACGAAGTGGTGTTGTAAACATCACATTCATTCGCCAGATAAGGTATCTGTGCAGGATATTGCTCGTTTCATGTCTCACTTGCGAGAGACCCGGAAACTCTCCGGGGGTTCCATTGCCAACTATGTCTCGTCCGTTGCTACGGTACGGGACGTTGCTATGTGTACCAGTCTCTCCAAAGAGCCGGTGATACGGGGTATTATCAAGGGTTTCAAACAGCACGATCTTAAGAAGGGCCGCCTTCGGGCACCGGCCTGGGATCTTTCCCTAGTCACTTACGGAAGCTCCGTATGAACCCTTGCATAGTGCTTCGTTCCGGCATGTGACTTGGAAAACAGCATTTCTCCCCTCCTTTGCCACGGCGGCACGTGTATCCGAAATTCATGCACTCGATGTCGCCAAGGTACGATTCGATAGGGGTGACGAAGGAGCTGTCCGCCTGGGCCTGCTCATGGGCTTCGTCGCCAAGAATCAGAGAGTCGGGCAAACGGAGAGAGAATTCACTGTAAGATCCCTCAAAGAAATCTTACATCCTGCTGATACTGAGGACAGAGCGCTGTGTCCGGTTTGGGCCCTTAAGTATTATCTTAAGGCTTCGAATGAACGTAGACAAGGGCATGACCGTCTGTTCATATCGTGTAACCCTAATCGCACGGTTGACATAACTCGATTGCGTTGTGGCTTCGTTCTGTCATCAATCTGGCGTACCGGTCTCGGGGGTTACCGGTAGCGGGGTCACAACCGCACGAGATCAGGGCGCTAGCGGCAACATTTGCCCTACACTCGAATATCTCTGTTCGCAGAATATTACGAGGTTGTTACTGGCGTTCTGACTCGGTTTTTGCCAATCATTACCTCAAACAGGTCGCTGATGCCGTCGTGGAGAGTGTGCACCGTCTTGGCCCGCGGATCGCGGCGCAAGCGGGCACCTAAGGGGTGTGCCCAGCGCAATTCCGAACTCCTCAGGCGTCAGACCTTGCACGGTGGTCAATCTGGGTCGACTCCATTGTTCCCACTGCCGTGGGTACAGGAGTTGGGGTCCCGCAAACCAGCGCACTCACACCACAGGTGAGGGCGGCTTTTTGTGTGCTTTGTCCTTATTTGTATTTTGACAATTATGTATTTAATTGTCTGTCGTGTATCCCAACCTTGTGATGCATGCTTACAAATACTGGTCACGCGCCTAATGCAAACTTTAAGTAGGCTTGCTCTGGGATATACGGTCTGAATGAAATTAATTTCCCTCTTTTCGACTGTTTAACCTGATCTAAGATTTAGCTCACGCGGATACAGTGTTCTCATCCGCTGCGGCGATGAAATACCTATCCAGTGGGGCCGTTTGAGTCACCAATCGTTTTGGCAATGACGATTGAGCCTTACGGTATGCGCTTGACAGTGCTTTGGTATTCCTATAGGGTAACGCCTAGCTAGGTGCATGCGCATCGAGTGCTTCCGCCTTGGTGTTTACTTCCGCTGGTCGGAAGGAACGCTAGCAGTCAGGATTCGGGTTGTAGGTGCTCCCCACCGCCTACTGTGGTAGTCAGCCTCGGTATAACAGTGGTAACGTATTACTTAATGTAATTTGTAGAATTTTCCTATTCGGAATATTCTATAAGTAATACGTTACCACTGGGCTGCTGCCCGCCCGTCCGTCCCCCGAGCACTTGCTCTCGCAAGAGACAAGAGTGAAGGGTGTCACATGGCAGCTAGGTGGCTACGCACGTGCTGCATGAGGTAATTGAGATCTCCGTGGTAGATTTCGCTATAGCAGCAGTTGTGGGAGACAACAGCCTCGGTATAACAGTGGTAACGTATTACTTATAGAATATTCCGAATAGGAAAATTCTACAATTTTGAAGCTTGTACATTTATCATTATCCTTTAAGAGGCTGTCAATAATGTTGATATCTCATATAAAAAACCCGACTCATGGTCGTCGTTTATCATACAATAAAACAATGCAGGGAGAATAAACCCCTCATGGTTTATTTACCTGCAGTGTTTTATTGTACAGTAAAAAACATCAACTCATCGTTTATTTCTTAAATAAAAATAAAATATATTGAAGTCAATTATTTTGTGTATCAATCAGTCTTGCATATCTCTGAGACAGTGTATCAAGTTTAACAAGAGTAAAAAAATAACAAAAATCTCTTTAAACGGGGAGGTGAAGTGAAAAAAATGATTGTGATTTTGTTCCGAATATCAATTGTCCCAGATATAATAAGTCAATTCCCGATAGAAAATATAGCATAATATTCATAGAAAGTATTTAAATGTTCAAGTAAAAGTAATAAATCACATGCTCCATAATCAGATTCCCAAACAAAACTTTCGTACGTGGCTTAAATCTTCGGCGTGTTACAAATGTTTGTATAGGCTGATATGATAGCTGACTTGTGATGCTTGGCAGCTATACGCCAGGAAGCTGTCAATCTAAAAGTGTTGCTGTTTCTATTAATCTTACATTGCATACATTGCTGAGTGTGTGAAACGACCTTTTATTTTGGCATGTAGTCCCCTGAAACTTTACATCATAGTTTGGACTTTCCTCCCATGCAACTGATGACTGGTTTGTTCAGGCTTGATATGTTGCAGGCGGTTGTATATTTGTGATATTGCTTACAGTAACATAATTCATTCACCCAATTACTTGTCATTGCTACAGAACCTACCAAAAAATATTGACACTGATGTATCCAATGCATGGTTGGAGAGGATGCAAGAGGAGGTGAGTTCTTCTGGCACTATGTTTAGTTAGGGTTCTCAGGTAGTCTAGGTTGTCATTAGGTAGTCTAGGTTGTCATTAGGTAGTCGGCGTTGTCATTAGGTAGTCAGGGTTGTCATTAGGTAGTTGGCGTTGTCATTAGGTAGTCTGGGTTGTCATTAGGTAGTCGGGGTTGTCATTAAGTAGTCAGGGTTGTCATTAGGTAGTCAGGGTTGTCATTAGGTAGTAAGCGTTGTCATTAGGTAGTCAGGGTTGTCATTAGGTAGTCGGGGTTGTCATTAAGTAGTCAGGGTTGTCATTAGGTAGTCGGGGTTGTCGTTAGGTAGTCAGGGTTGTCATTAGGTAGTCTGGGTTGTCATTAGGTAGTTGGCGTTGTCATTAGGTAGTCAGGGTTGTCATTAGGTAGTAAGCGTTGTCATTAGGTAGTCAGGGTTGTCATTAGGTAGTCGGGGTTGTCATTAAGTAGTCAGGGTTGTCATTAGGTAGTCGGGGTTGTCGTTAGGTAGTTAGGTTGCTGGGGTTGTCATTAGGTAGTCGGGGTTGTCGTTTGGTAGTCAGGGTTGATGTAAGTTAGTCAGGGTTGTCGTAAGTTAGTCAGGGTTGTCTTTAGGTAGTCAGGATTGTAGCTAGTTGAGGTTGTCATTAGGTGGTTGAGGTTGTCATTAGTTTGTCGGGGTTGTCGTTAGGTAGTCGGGGTTGTCGTTATGTAGTCTGGGTTGATGTAAGTTAGTCAGGGTTGTCGTAAGTTAGTCAGGGTTGTCTTTAGGTAGTCGGGATTGTAGCTAGTTGAGGTTGTCATTAGGTGGTTGAGGTTGTCATTAGGTAGTCGGGGTTGTCGTTAGGTAGTCGGGGTTGTCGTTAGGTAGTCGGGGTTGTCGTTAGGTAGTCAGGGTTGTAATTAGGTAGTCGGGGTTGTCATTAGGTCGTCAGGGTTGTCAGGTAGTTGGGGTTGTCGTTAGGTATTCGGGGTTGTCGTTAGGTAGTCGGGGTTGTCAGGTAGTTGTGGTTGTCAGGTAGTTAGGGTTGTCATTAGGTAGTCGGGGTTTTTGTCAGGTAGTCAGGGTTGTCGTTAGGTAGTCAGGTTGTTATTTCATCTATCATGGATTAGATTATTATTTCAACCATTACAGAGAAATGTTTCCTTTGTCACCATTCTAATTTAGGAAAACATTCACCAGAATATTTTTTTTTAGTTAAATGTTAAAGCATTAACATGTGGTACAATTGAAGAATTATCTCCCTTGACATTGGCTTGAAATAGTCATGGCTCCATTGTGTTCTTCAGGCCATCGGTTGGCAGAGCAAGAACACAAGTTCTCTGGGGACACTATGGCTTGAGGTTCTGAGATACTTCAGCCTTGGCTTCGACACGGCCATGTTTGTTGTTTGTCTGAGGCAACATAAGATGCTGGCTAGGGCAGAGAAGAAATGGAATTCCAAGAAACTAGCCATTGAAGGTAATATTGATATATATCATTTAACTTAAGCATTTATCCATGACATAAGCTTATGACATAAAAACATGTATGTCATACCCCAATGACATAAGTATGCAAATTAGATATGCAAATTAGATAACCGGAAGAGCGAGCGGTTTGATTTGAAACTATATATTATAAGTGAAGTTACACCAGAGATATAATCAGATTACACAGAATCGTTGTTGTTACCGTTATTAAAGTTTCAATTATTCTGCAAAAGTCTGTTCAAGTATTTTGTTTAAAATAATCCGAGGAACTTTTTCTCAGCGAATTGTTTATTTTGGTTTACATGGCTATGGAAAACATGTATCACTACGCACGATCTATACGTAAGATTTCGACAAGTTGCTGATGTTAATGTTTAATGCAATTTTTCCTTAATTTGGAAGCAAAAATGTGAAAATGATAAATAGAATTTATCACGAGTGTTTTTTAATATGGGAAATATCAACCTCGTCCCGTTAATCGGTATTTGCCTCGCCAAAGGCTCGGCAAATACCGATTAACTAAGACTCGGTTGATATTTCCCATATTAAAAAACACTCGTGATGAATCCTCTATATATCTGTACAAGAGTGACAGTTTTGTAACCCACCCAGAGAGAATTTATTATGTTATCTTGTCATCGTGAGCTTATGTCATGACCTGGTAGCTTGAGGACATTATCTTCTCTGAAAGCTTAGCTGCTGAAGTAATTCTTGGTATGCATCCTACCATTGATGTCAATGTTTGTTCCAACTGTCTCCTTTTTCAGATCAAAACACATTTATTCACATTTTGAAGTATATTTCACTTTTTCTAAGAAACTTAGAGTGAGTACTAGTAAAAATGTAAAAAAATGTACTCGTAAAAAATGTTGTCGGTTGCTCAAGGCAGGTCTGTTCTCAAACCTCAGCCCTCATGTTGCAGAAATAATTTAATTGTATCTTAGCAATGACACTCTGTATTAGTTGCTTTCCCTGTGCATCAGATCCATTTTCCCAGAAGAGGAATGTGGCTAGGACTGTGAGTAACACCAAGATATACGAGTATTTCCAAGACAGTCTGCGGAAAGCCTATCACTACTTTGGCCTGCCCAGGAGTAAAGGAGGAGGATCCCTCATCAGCAATGAAGTTCTGTCTGGCATCGTGGAAAAATCCAGGGGCAGAAAGAAACATCTGGGTGAGTTTGCTTCTGGAGATGCAGAGGACACGGATGATGACACTGATGCTGCCCGGGACTCCAGTGTGGAACCAGAGGACCAGGAAGCATCAGACGTCACGACTGGCGAAGGAGAATCCTCCCCTGAGAGACAATTATCTGACACGTTGCTATCCCCTTCAGTGAACGAGAGCTGTAGCTCAGTTAGTACATTATGCGAGGAGGACTCGTCGATCATATCCGCAGGTGTTAGTAAAATTTCACTGGATGACAGCAAAGAAGAACCAGTGCATTCAGACATTGACAAATTCGCCCGGGACTTTGCCTTGAAGGTGGTGCAGAGTGCTGTGCAAGCTGTATCTTCCAGTGATACCCTAAGTCAGACGAGTGTGCCAAGTGAGTCCCAGGGCGAAGACAAGGGTGGGTGTGATGATGGGGACAAGTCCCAAGGGGAGACAACTTCTGTGATAAAGGAGAGTGAACAGTCTGTGACTGAAGTTAAGTCTGGGCCCATGTTGGTCGAGTCGGTGCTAAAGGAACTGAACTTGGAAGATAAGGAGTGTTTCTATGAATTTACAGCAAAGATTTTAACTGATGGCAAGGTGAGAGTTTAGATTCATCATTCTACGCAAGGACTTAGCAAACTTTTTGAAGCCTGTAACTACATAGATTGTCATGGTTAATAATTATTTCTACCTCTAAAAAGATAAATACAAATAATGATTATGATAATAATGCTTCTTTGATATGAAACCAAGTGGATTCAAATGATCTCAAGTATCTTTTGAGTGGTCAAATCTTTCTGCAGCTGTTAATTGGCTGTGGCACATGATATTGCTAAAGTAGCACTGTTGATGACCCTTCCTGCCCCTTGTGGCACTTTTGGTATTTGGTTTTGGAGATTTTATGTCTTCATGATGCAGAGACCTGTGGGGATTCTGGGTAAGAATACAGGTCTCCAGCAACCAAGGCTTGTCATAAGAGGCGGCTATGTGAATCTGACCCGTGAATATTCCGGGATAGAATAGGTCTTCAGCAACCCATGCTTGCCGTAAAAGGTGACCGTGCTTGTCGTAAAAGGCGTCTAACATGATCGGGTGGTCAGGCTCACTGACTTGGTTGATGCATGTCATCGATCCCAATTGGGTGGATCGATGCTCATGATATCAATCACTGGATTGTCTGGTCCAGACTCGATTATTTACAGACCGCCGTCATATACCTGGAATATTGCTGAGTGCGGCGTAAAACAAGAAACCAACCAACTATGTGAATCTTGTGGTCAGGTTTGGTGACTTCTTTGATTACATGTCATCATACCCGGCAGTCTGGGACATTGCTCATACTATCAACCACTGGTTTGTCTGATCCAGACTTGATTATTTACAGGCCGCCACAATATACTGAAATATTGCTGGAATATTGATGAATGTGTCAACAAAAGCAAACAAAAGCATTCTTGGCCAAGGGTTTTTCAGATACCAGGCCATAAATGAGTTATTGGTGACAAAACCACAAAGCAATGAAACAGTGCTTCTTTCCTGTGTCCATTTTACTAGGGTCCTGCAATCATCTGTGGTTATTGTGAGAAGGAAGGTCATTTGAAGACTGCTTGTCCTGAGGACCAGTTGCCCAAACTAGTAATCCTTCCTCCCGTCAAGAAGGCATATGCGAAGATGCTTTCCGTCACCATTGAACAAGTTCCAAGTGAGTTTGTGACAGAGCCAGATACCAGTACTAGGAGTTAGTCCAGCTGGTTGGTAGCTCAGTTTGTGACAGAGCCAGATACCGATACTAGGAGTCAGTCCAGCTGGTTGGTAGCTCAGTTTGAACAAGTGGTTTTTGTGTTGATGGTAATTTGGTTAAGACTAGATTTTGAGAAAAAGCAAATGATTCCACAATATTTCTTCTAGTCTCCTGATTAGAAGACTAGTGGTGGTGTCTAATCCTGCATGAGAAAATTAGATGTGTACTGTGTTTGTCGTTACGTTCTCAGTATTTTAGGTGTACTTAATCTTCCAGAGGCAAGGGAGTTAACTGACTTTATAGCTAAAATAGATAGAATTATCATTAAACCGCCCGCACGTTATCAGAAATGAGCGGGCCACTGTAACTTGATAATGCCCTCATATTGCTTGACGACGGGCCATTATCAAGCCCGCTGTGAGGTGACGTCATAGGGTAGGAAAGTGACGTCACGTATTATAGTGACGTCATCTGGTTTGTTCTATGACGTTTCCATGTTTGTAAAATGGGGTCAGTGACATTCGTGTTGATTGCAGTAAATGTTTCAAAACCGATGTAGTTGTTTCTTTTTATTTGATAACAAATTCCATCCATTTTAGCTATAATAACGATAACGCAATTTTTCAGGGCATTATCATATGCAGAAGCCCTCGGTCTTTTCAACTGCCCTCCTTCGTCGGGCAGTTAATGGAAAACCTAATGCCCAGAAAAATAGCGTTATCCTTATAGTAATTGTCCAGTTTCCACCTTTGCCGAACTAGGTTGAAATTATGGAGTTATATTTTGGGTGAACTAACGAGTCCATGCATTGTCCAATCAAAATTGTGTAACAAAATCGACACCTGGTTTGTAAACTGCCGTGCAGATTTCGGTCGATTGCTGGATTTGCAAAGTATGTGTACCGCCAACTAGGAGTCAACAGATATTTTCCAAATCTTTTCGTGTTTCTAATCAAGGTGCTCATGTGATTTGATGCACTTTGCTAAGTAAAACCCATTTTATCACAATATAGATTTTGATTATCGAACAGATCTTGACTAGATCATGTAGATGCCACCATTTTGTTTGAAGCAAATGCAAGTGATATGAGAAGTGGAATCTGATTGGTCAATAGGAGGGACATAGACGAGACATGACTCGTAATAGCCACTGATGGTGGACAGTCAGTAAACTCCCTTGCCTCAGGAAGATGGGTGTGTTTAAGTTATTGTAAACAAATGAATCAAGCATCTGACATGTCATATTTCAGGGGATTTTGGCCCATCCAACAAAGAGATGAAACAGCGGGACTACATACTGCATGAGCTGCAGGACTTCATTCGGCAGCTCTATCCAGGTAAGGAAGGGAAATACTGTTAAAAGGAGTGGTTACATTGTCATGACCATAATGCTTTAGTATTTGCTTGATGAAACGTGGATGTGATTGTACAGAAATATGTTTGTCAAATGACAAGAATTTGTTATAATGACATACTTGGTGTTCTCCATGATTTTGATGGTTTCAGTCTTTGTTTTGTGCTTCAGGTGTTATTCTCCGATTATTTGGATCATCCTGTAATGGATTTGGCTTCAGAATGAGTGACCTTGACATCTGTATGACCTTCAACCAACACAACAGTGCAAAGGTTTGTTGTTGTCGTTCACTAGTAGTGGTAGGATTTTGTGAAGCTACAGAGAGAGGGAGGGAGGAGAGAGAGAGAGAGAGCGAGAGCGAGAGAGCGAGCATATGTCATTGAAATGAATTCCGTTCGTGTGTGCGTGTGTGTGTGTGTGTGCGTCCCGAAATCGTTTCCGGAGCATAACTCAGAAACCGTTAAATATTTCTCTACGAAACTTTGCATGTCTATCAGACTCATGCTGAACTGGTGCCTTTTGCTATTTACGAGTTTTATAAATTTTTATTTTTTACGTTTCCACGGCAACAAATTGGACTTAGGTTCTATAAGGGTGCTGTTCGTTTCCGGAGCGTAACTCAAAAAACATTAAATACTTTCTTACAAAACTTTGCATGTCTACTAGGCACATACTGAACTGGTGCCTTTTGCTATTTAGGAGTTTTATAAATTTTTATTTTTTACGTCTCAATGGCAACAAGTTGGACTTAGGTTCTATAAGGGTGCTGTTCGTTTCCGGAGCGTAACTCTTTTCATGTTTACCAGACACATACTGAACTGGTGCCTTTTGCTATTTAGGAGTTTTAGAAATGTTTATTTTAGAATTTCCATTGCAGCTATTTTGACATGGCCTAAGAGAAATGTTGGGTCAGTTACCTGGTTTGGGACCATAACGTGTTAAAATGGAGGGGGATATAGATGATTTCGTCGACTATACGCTTGTTTGGTTAAGTCAAGTCATCATGGTTCATAATACATGTTTCTGAAGTAAAGGTTGTTCTCATTCAGCAGTAATGGTAGGATTTTGTGAAGCTACAGAGGGAGGGAGAGCGCATATGTCATTTGGTTAAGTCAAGTCATCATGGTTTCTGAAGTAAACGTTTTGGGGCATTCAGGAAGAGGTAGGGGTATGACTGCTTCTGTTCTGTAATGCAAACATGTGTTGTGTTTGTTCCAGGATGTGAAGTGCACGGAGACGATAGAGAGGCTAGCTAAGAAGCTGAAGGAGCACAGGGGCCTGTACCAGGTGGTGGCCATCCCCACGGCCAAGGTGCCCATCGTCAAGTTCCGGCACAGGGAGAGTCAGCTGGAGGCTGACATCAGTCTCTACAATACTCTGGTAAACACAACAAGCTCACACATAGTGCTTAAATCACTTTTAGGGGCGGTCGGGTAGCCCAGTGGTTAAAGCGTTCGCTCGTCTCGCCGAAGACCCAGGTTCGATTCCCGACATGGGTACAGTGTGTGAAGCCCATTTCTGGTGTCCCCCGCCGTGATATTGCTGGAATATTGCTAAAAGCGGCGTAAAACCATACTCACTCACTCACTAAATCACTTTTATTTGATTGTTTGCATTATGCATTGTTTTCCCTAACAGTGTTTTAGTTTTTGTGTAGAGATGTTATGAGAACATTTATGTTTTTGTGATACAGAAACGTGTGGGGCTCCAGCAACCTATGCTTGTCTCACCATGGGGATTCTAGGTAAAAATACAGGTCTCCAGCAACCTATGCTTGTCTCACCATGGGGATTCTAGGTAAAAATACAGGTCACCAGCAACCTATGCTTGTCTCACCATGGGGATTCTAGGTAAAAATACAGGTCTCCAGCAACCTATGCTTGTCTCACCATGGGGATTCTAGGTAAAAATACAGGTCTCCAGCAACCTATGCTTGTCTCACCATGGGGATTCTAGGTAAAAATACAGGTCTCCAGCAACCTATGCTTGTCTCACCATGGGGATTCTAGGTAAAAATACAGGTCTCCAGCAACCTATGCTTGTCTCACCATGGGGATTCTAGGTAAAAATACAGGTCACCAGCAACATTTGCTTGTCTCACCATGGGGATTCTAGGTAAAAATACAGGTCTCCAGCAACCTATGCTTGTCTCACCATGGGGATTCTAGGTAAAAATACAGGTCTCCAGCAACCTATGCTTGTCTCACCATGGGGATTCTAGGTAAAAATACAGGTCTCCAGCAACCTATGCTTGTCTCACCATGGGGATTCTAGGTAAAAATACAGGTCACCAGCAACATTTGCTTGTCTCACCATGGGGATTCTAGGTAAAAATACAGGTCTCCAGCAACCTATGCTTGTCTCACCATGGGGATTCTAGGTAAAAATACAGGTCTCCAGCAACCTATGCTTGTCTCACCATGGGGATTCTAGGTAAAAATACAGGTCACCAGCAACATTTGCTTGTTGCAAAATGTGACCAAATGGATCAGGTGGTCAGGCTCTGTGACTTGGTTGATGGTGTGCCATCGTACCTTGACGATGAGGATCGTTGCTCACAATGTAGATCAATGTATTGTCTGGTCCAGACTCCAGCCGCTGTCATATAGCCGGAATATTCACTGAGTGAGGAAAGAAAAACACGAACACTTGCATGGTTGACCAGCGAGAAAGACCACCTGGCCTTCTAAGCTCATCATCATTCCAGATATGTAGCTACTATTTAGGCAGGAATTAAACAGCGTTGTGTTTCTGTGTGTAGGCCCAGCACAACACCAAGCTGCTCCTGACTTACAGTGAGATCGACCCACGAGTCAGGGCGTTAGGATACGCCTTCAAGGTCTTTGCTAAGGTAAGAAACCATTTCAGCTCGTTGACAGGGCATTTCAGATAGTTAACAGGGCACTTCAGATAGTTAACAGGGCACTTCAGCTAGTTAACAGGGCAGCTAGTTAACAGGGCACTTCAGCTAGTTAACAGGGCACTTCAGCTAGTTAACAGGGCACTTCAGCTAGTTAACAGGGCACTTCAGCTAGTTATCAGGGCACTTCAGCTAGTTAATAGGGCATTTCAGCTAGTTAACAGGGCATTTCAGCTAGTTAACAGGGCACTTCAGCTAGTTAACAGAGCATTTCAGCTAGTTAACAGGGCATTTCAGCTAGTTAACAGGGCATTTCAGCTAGTTAACAGGGCATTTCAGATGTGTCAGTTTATCATGCTGAGACTGAAAGAGCTCATTGATTATACAGCGATGTTTTTTTGGTGGTTGTGGTGGTGATGGTAGTTGTGATGTTGTTCAGGCTTCAGTACTGCCACACGTCTGTTATTCCAAGGCAAGTTGTAAGAACTACAGTGAACTACATTTATAACAAACACGCTTATAGCGAACTGACGGACATAACAAACTGTTTTTATGTCCCGACCTTTTGCTGTATATATGCTTATAACAAATTTTGGTTATAGCTTATAAACTAAAATTAGCAGTCCCCTTGAGTTTGTTATGACCGTAGTATACTGTAGTTATTTTCCCCAAAATGTAAGTATGTTTGTAATTAACAGTCCGATAGTATATTATTGACCAGTTTGATTTAGCTCATTGTGTTGACCTCAGGTTTGACAGTGGTAGTTTTGATGTTTGCTACTAAAGGTGTTTTGGGGGGCCCTTTGAATGTGAGGTAGATATAATAACGATGATGGAAAGGACAATATGATAATATATTTATACCCTGTGACATTCGGGATGCATTGTAGTGATGGTAACAACCATTATGTTAGTGTTAGCATTGATGATGATGATGATGATGTTAGTGATGATGATGATGATGATGATTTTAGTGATGATGATGATGATGATGATGTTAGTGATGATGATGATGATGATGATTTTAGTGATGATGATGATGATGATTTTAGTGATGATGTAAGTGATGATGATGATGATGATGATGTTAGTGATGATGATGATGATGATGATTTTAGTGATGATGATGATGATGATGATTTTAGTGATGATGATGATGATGATGATGTTAGTGATGATGATGTTAGTGATGATGATGATGATGATGATTTTAGTGATGATGATGATGATGATGATGTTAGTGATGATGATGATGATGATGATTTTAGTGATGATGATGATGATGATGATGTTAGTGATGATGATGTTAGTGATGATGATGATGATGATGATGATGATGATGATTTTAGTGATGATGATGATGATGATGTTAGTGATGATGATGATGATGATGATTTTAGTGATGATGATGATGATGATGATGTTAGTGATGATGATGATGATGATGATTTTAGTGATGATGTAAGTGATGATGATGATGATGATGTAAGTGATGATGATGATGATGATGATGCTGTTAGTGTTGCTGTTATGGTGATGGTGGTGATGATGATGATGATGATGATGTTAGTGTTGCTGTTATGGTGATGGTGGTGATGATGATGATGATGATGCTGTTAGTGTTGCTGTTATGGTGATGGTGGTGATGATGATGATGATGATGATGTTAGTGATGATGATGATGATGATGATGATGATGATGATGATGTTAGTGATGATGATGATGATGATGATGCTGTTAGTGTTGCTGTTATGGTGATGGTGGTGATGATGATTTTAGTGATGATGTAAGTGATGATGATGATGATGATGATGCTGTTAGTGTTGCTGTTATGGTGATGGTGGTGATGATGATGATGATGATGATGATGATGATGATGATGATGATCACCCTGTAGGTGTGTGACATCGGGGATGCTTCCCGTGGCAGTCTGTCCTCGTATGCCTACGTCCTGATGCTGCTGCACTATCTCCAGCAGTGCCGGCCGCCCGTCATCCCCGTGCTTCAGGAGGTCAGAAAACACTCACTCCTCATCCTTTGTTCTTTATTACTCAATTACAAGTATATTAGATAATTACCGTCTTCATATTTTACAAAAATAAAATTTCACTCAAAATAAGATGTCTACAACCATGTTAAAATGAAAGATTAAGGGCCTTAGCAAGATCGATTTCTCTTTTCTCTACCATTACATGTTGTGTCACGTGTAGCCTCCATAATTACTTTGGTTGATTTTGGAAAACTGATCACCAAAAGCTGCCTTGTTTGTATGTTGAGTTCATTAATGTGGCAAGTAATATTGTTTCAGCTGTATCATGGCAAAACCAAGCCAGAATGGATGGTCGATGACTGCAATGCTTACTTTTTTGAGAACATTGACCAGCTGGTGAGTTGACTGGAAGAAACTGCCAAAAGCATTTCTGCTTTTTCTCTAAATTCTGTACTATTGCAATATTGCAGAGCAACTGTTGGTATAAAATATTTGGTGAATGAAACCCAAGACATTGTTGTGAGTTGTCTTTCCTTGGCTCACCGAAGACAAGATAGTTACTGTTTTGTTATGACTGATCTCAATCGTTTGGGGACCATTTCCAGTCTAGGTTTTGATACTGAAGATATTGCCATGTGTTCGCTTAGGAAAGCAGTGGTTACAAAGTTGACCATTTATTTTTTTACACAAAACACCATAAATGGTAAACATTATTAAAATTTGAAAATTAAATTGTTCAAGTTTAACAAATTTTAGAATACTTGGTGATCTTCCAGAAAATCATTATGCACTTATTTAGAAATTTGACAGCAGTGCTGTTTTAGGAAGCTGGTATGAGGTGTGAGTTGTGTATTTGTTTCAAAGAAATAAGGAGGAAGATGAATAGCCTTGTGGTTAAAGTATTGACACATCATGCCGAGGGCCCGGGTTTGATTCCCAACATCATATCAGAGTGAGTGAGTGAGTTGAGTTTTACGCCACTTTTAGCTGTATTCAAGCAATACAATGGCAGAGGACACCAGAAATGGGTTTTACACATTGTACCCATATGGGGAATTGAACCTGGGTCTTTAAAAAGCGAACACACTAGGCTACCCCACCACGCAACATAAAACAGCTAACTCATCAAAGAAATAATGATGAGTAACAACATAGGCAGAGTGCTTGTATCTGTGTCATGCATGTTGTCAGCCTGCTGTGTGGAAGGACTACGGGAAGAACAGCCTGAGTATCGGTGAGCTGTGGCTGGGGTTGTTCCGCTACTACACAGAAGAGTTCAACTACAAGGAGCAGGTGGTCAGCATCAGACAGAAAGCTCCACTCAGCCGCTTTGAGAAACTCTGGAATGGGAAGTGTCTCGCTATTGAAGGTAGGCAGGAACATACTTCAACAAACAATAGGAGGTTTATAATGTTGGCATCTTGTTTGCCTTCACCATTTGTTTATCTTGACTTAACCATGAATATCAATAATTAATGTTGAACACGTTAAAAATGGCAAATCGTTCAGTAATTAGAGTTACTCCTGCCTTTCTTACTTAGGTTTTGACTTCCTTGTTTTCAGATCCATTTGACTTAAATCACAACCTTGGTGCTGGTCTTTCTAGAAAGAGTGAGTAGCTTCCTTTCTGGAAACTGTTGTAGTGATGTGTGGAAAGGGTTGTTTGTCTGTTGATGTCAGAGATATCACACTTGAGTTTACCATTCAGAATTGGGGATACATGTATGTGGTAACAAGTACATACATACATTTATTACCCAAATGGTTAGAAATAATCGTATGTGCACTAGTGCAAAAATCACTTCACACGCAGTGTATTGTTTTACGTCATCCAGATGATATTGTTGACATCATTACAATCTTATTGTGCCGTAAGGTAGGAATGACGTCACACTAGAAATGACATCACAGCTGAAGATTGTTGACATCATTCAAACATGCTTGTATAACAATCTTTGTGTCTGAACTTCTTTGGTGGTAATGAGAAGTAACTGTGTTTTGGAACATTTAAACTTCATTAATACAATCTCTGTTGACATTCTCTGGCAAGATAGTTGATGTGTACATCGCACATCTGAGGTCTGATATCATCACTCCACTTGTCTGGATATATCATTATTATATATTTATACTACTCAAAAGAAGTTAGGAAGCACCCAATTCTTTCATCTTACCATAGTCTGTCATGCCATGGGGGCGGTCGGGTAGCCTAGTGGTTAAAGCATTTGCTCGTCACGCTGAAGACCCGGGTTCGATTCCCGACATGGGTACAATGTGTGAAGCCCATTTCTGGTGTCCCCCGCCGTGATATTGCTGGAATATTGCTAAAAGCGGCGTAAAACCATACTCACTCACTCACTGTCATGCCATGTCGGATTGACTATAGTAATATGAAAGAATTGGGTGGTCCTTAACTTGTTTTGAGTAGTATATTCATAATGGCCCTACTAGAGACGTCAAGTTAACGGAACTTCACTTTACTCCAATCAACATTAATTATGCAAGATGTCCCAGATTTTACAGGCATAAAGTAATAAATATACCTGATTTCAGTGTGTAGATCTCACCCAACTTTGAATTTTGCAAGAGTGCTTTTGAGCTGTGTTTTGTTCAGGACCTAAGTGCATTGTAAATTGCATGATTATTAGTGTTGAAATTAGTGGATAATTGCCATTTTGACCACTTAATCTTGTGTATAATTCCAGTGAACAATTACATCCTGAAAGCTTTTATTCATGGCCGAGAGTTGTATGGGACAGCGAAGGATGAGCAGTTGATCAGGCAGATATACAGGACCCTTGGGGTAGGTGACATTGGATCGAGGCCTGTGACTCTCCGTGGGTGAGTCATCAGGTCATAAGCACTGGATGCAGATATTTAGGTGACATCATTTTGTAGAAATCAGCACTCTTGTCATAACTATTCCACAACCTTGTTGGACTGCCCCCATGATCTAGTCGATAGAGTGTCTGCCCGGAGAGCAGAAGTGCAATAATCTTGAATGCAACATTAAACCACATAAGAAATTGACAGTCGATCTCATGCGAGATCTGACTGCTATTTGTGGTTTTGTAGAAAACGAAGTATGGAAACTAACAGAAGACAGATCTAAGTGTCTGGTGTCATCACTGCAAGCAGCTGCTATCACTTAAAATGATGACAATGAATTTCCAAACTTGTCCTATATTTTGATATTTGTTACCCTTGTACCCAATGTTAGGGATGCAGAGCCCTGTAGTATTGACTTGTCTCCCTCAGGACTACTTCTTCGACCGGTCTCTACTGACAGAGGGCACTCCCCCAAATGACCGGGGTTGTCGAGTGTGTGGGAAGATTGGACACATTGCCAAAGAGTGTCCTATTGTCACAAACAGGAAAGAACGGTAATGATACATAAATGATACAGGAATGATACATAAATGATACAGGAATGATACAGGAATGATTGGAATCAACATGTTAACACCGAGTCATGTATCTTATGGTACTTGAATATACAAACATATAAACATACGAGAAATATATACAGCCAAACCACGTTATCTCGAACCTGGTGGGACCGTGTCCTTGCTTTGAGATATCCAACATTTACGATAACGAGGAATGGAAATTCAGACTGATCAAGTAACAGTAATAAGATCAATAGCAATATCATTGCATTCATTGGACAATAAGGACACAACATGTGTAAGTGATGACAAATTGAAGTGTATTTCACAGTAATCATCAATGACAATTGTGACAAATCATGTACAGTGTAATTATATGTACATTTAGGATCGAGAGAAGAATGCACATGTACCTTATTTGGCATATCAGCAATCAAAAATAAACAACTGCGAAGTTCATTTTTATTTATCAACTTGACAAAAACAACAACAGTGTCACTCTCTCCTCAAACTTGTTAATTCACTACTTGAATATTGTGTGCTGTGTCATGCAGCATTGATTCATTTAATCCGACTTTGATCAGCATATTTTGATGTAACCAGGAAATGCCTCCATTTTTATATGCATTTCTACTGTTGATGTTTTATTTGTAAAAAAAGACTACCATAACAATTGGATAAGAAGGTATGTACGTAATTGGTTGAACAGTTGGTTCAAATTGCACAGTTCTCTTACAGTAGTGTAAAACGTGTGAGGATAGGCACTAGATATACATGCAACAAGGAAAGAGATTTCCGCTATGTGAGATGCATATTTACACTTCTCAAAACTGTTAATGTGACAGATGCCAACTTCGAGATAAAGGAACAAAATTCTATAGTAAAGTCACAGTTGGGACCAAGTCCAAAATTCAAGTTAAAGCTGTGGTTTTTTTTGTTTTGAATGCGAGATAATCGGACAAATTTATATGTATTTATATAGTGAGGTGGTCGGGACCGGAAAATACGTTTGAGATACCGACATTTGTCAATACAGGGTTTGAGATAACGAGATGACCATACAACATACTCGTCAATTTCATTTCATTATTACAGAGTTTACATGTTTCATAAATATGTTTTCAAGACAGTGCATGGTCCACATATAACGTTAGTTGACATTGCATGGTTTCCACATTAGAGGACAGAAATGACATGACGATAACGGTAAATAATGAACTGGAAAATATTTTACTCCATCTTTGATGTAAAAGCAAATAGACATTGCTACTTAATTTGCAATACTTTTTAACATAATGGCCTATATTCTGGTTCATTTTATTCCTTCCATGATTTGACGTCAAATCTGTAAATCCTGGCCATAATCTTAGCAAACAAATTTTGAATATTTTGAAAGTCTTCAAGGTGTTTTACGTTGTAATAGATTTATTAATCTGACTCGCATCTCACATTTGATTCACATCTGGAACTGACCACTGATAATGTAACATATGTGGTGTCTCCTTGGGCAAGTGACTTTGTTCGAAATGTGACACTGTTCACCAAGCAGTGAAAGGGTACCCGGTAGGATCAGATGATAATGTGGTGGTTAGCCTTTTAGTGCCTAACAGGCAGCTTGGGTTGTATACTCCCTAGGGAGCTGAGAATAATTGTTGAGTTATCGTCATAATTATTATTATTTCATAAGGTTGAATTTTTGGTCCTGTTGAACCTGGATCTTGGTATTTATCAGAGAGGAACGAGAGCGGCGGCAACGAGAGGAGCGGCAACGAGAAGATAGGCTGCGAGATGAGCGGCAACGAGAGGAGAGAGCGCGGGTGAACAAGAAGCCTGATCAGCCCATGAACATGGCACAACAGCATGGCATGTCACCTAACGGTATGTACAAGAACCTAGCCTCCTCCCCATGTCCCCCTTGTGAAGCCTATTTCGGCTGACCCCTCCATGATATTGCTGGAATGTTGCTAAAATCAGATTAAAACCCTACTCATTCACTCACACTTCAGTTAGCAGTGGGTGGCCTAGTGGTTAAACTATTCACTTATCATACTCATACTCTGCATGGGTACAATGAGTGAATCCTGGTGTCCCCAGCAACGACAATATTAGAATATACCTAAAAGCAGCGAAAACCCACTCATTTACAAACACTCTGGACCCGTGAAGATTCCGGGGTAGAATAGGTCTTCAGCAACCCATACTTGCCGTAAAAGGCGACTATGCTTGTCGTAAAAGGCAACTAACGGGATCGGGTGGTCAGGCTTGCTGACTTGGTTGATGCATGTCATCGATCCCAAATGCTTGGATCGATGCTCATGCTGTCAATCACTGGATTGTCTGGTCCAGACTCGATTATTTAGACTGCCGTCATATAGCTGGAATATTGCTGAGTGCGGCGTTAAACAACAAACAAACAAACAAAACAAACACTCCGTGTTGTTGTGGATAGAGCGTTCTTCCAATGAATGTAAAGTTGGTGGTTCAGTTCCCTAACCACATCATACCAAAAGACGTTAAAAGATGGTACTTGCTGGCTCTCGGCATATAGGGGATAAAACAAGGACTGACTTGTAAATGACATGTAAAACTGTAGTATGGTGTCCAAGTGAGCTGGCATTATAATATAACCGGCCAAAGTCTGGACTAGTACAAGCAGCCACACGCGCAGTATATGAGTGAAATAATCTTGAAAGTGACATTCAACCCCATTTCACCTCACTTCACAAACATTCATAAGTGGCATGCATATCTTAACACATACCAGTGATATTGCTTGTGATGGAGTATGACTGTTTCCAGCTCGTCCAGGGAGTAAGTCACAGTCCTCCCCCAGCACCCCAGCTGTCAGTCACATGGCCACACCCCCAGGCTTCAGGGAGAAGACGAAGCGATCCCAGTCGATGCCAGAGAGTGCCAGCTCTACAGCAGCTAATTTACAGGTGACTTTGTCAGTTTGAGATAGGTGTCGGTGTCGTGAATTTGTTTAACAATGTTCCTGATTAAATTTTATTGGCAAAGTCGACTGTCTCAGATGTGCAGTGGGGCAGCCTAGTGGTAAATGCGGTCCGTGAACATTTTTTGTTTCATTTTCTCGGATAAGCACACTATGTTGAGACAATATTTTATGTCCCCAGCCTTATTATAAACTGCTGGGCGAAAGAAAATCTACATTTGAAAATTTGATTTGACCAAAATATTACATACGTGATCCACATGTTACAAGGCTGAAAACAGTCCCCGAATCACTGCCAGACTTAAAGGTTTAAAACACAACTTTGATACCATCGAATAACCATTTCTGGTTTGTTTTATTTTTAGCCACCATCTAACATGGGTGTATTCTTTCTTCAGCTGGAATATTTCTAAAATTGTTGTTAAATCATATTCACTTGCACTACCATCTGAAATCTTAGAATAATTATTATGCTATTACTGAAAATCATGGCTCAGATTTTCAATAGCTGAGTCTTCATTTTTCAGTATATACTAGTATTTGAATGTTATTAGAGCCATGTTCAGTCATAATCTTTTATCTGAAATATACTTTATCATGATATAATTGGGTGACTATTGAATGTACTCAATGCTGAAAATCTGCAATGCTGTATGTACATTAACCCATACACTGTGGCACCCCATGAACATTCTCCCCATACACTGTGGCAACCCATGAACATTCTCCCCATACACTGTGGCAGTCCATGAACATTCTCTCCATACACTGTGGCAGTCCATGAACATTCTCCCCATACACTGTGGCAACCCATGAACATTCTCCCCATACACTGTGGCAGTCCATGAACATTCTCCCCATACACTGTGGCAGTCCATGAACATTCTCCCCATACACTGTGGCGGTCCATGAACATTCTCCCCATACACTGTGGCAACCCATGAACATTCTCCCCATACACTGTGGCACCCCATGAACATTCTCCCCATACACTGTGGCAACCCATGAACATTCTCCCCATACACTGTGGCAGTCCATGAACATTCTCCCCATACACTGTGACAACCCATGAACATTCTCCCCATACACTGTGGCAACCCATGAACATTCTCCCCATACACTGTGGCAGTCCATGAACATTCTCCCCATACACTGTGGCAACCCATGAACATTCTTCCCATACACTGTGGCACCCCATGAACATTCTCCCCATACACTGTGGCAACCCATGAACATTCTCCCCATACACTGTGGCAACCCATGAACATTCTCCCCATACACTGTGACAACCCATGAACATTCTCCCCATACACTGTGGCAACCCATGAACATTCTCCCCATACACTGTGGCAGTCCATGAACATTCTCCCCATACACTGTGGCAACCCATGAACATTCTTCCCATACACTGTGGCACCCCATGAACATTCTCCCCATACACTGTGGCAACCCATGAACATTCTCCCCATACACTGTGGCAACCCATGAACATTCTCCCCATACACTGTGGCACCCCATGAACATTCTCCCCATACACTGTGACACTCCCATGAACATTCTCCCCATACACTGTGGCACCCCATGAACATTCTCCCCATACACTGTGGCAACCCATGAACATTCTCCCCACACTGTGGTACCCCGTGAACATTCTTCCATACACTGTGGTAACCCATGAACATTCTCCCCATACACTGTGGCACCCCATGAACATTCTCCCCATACACTGTGGCAACCCATGAACATTCTCCCCATACACTGTGGCAACCCATGAACATTCTCCCCATACACTGTGGCAACCCATGAACATTCTCCCCATACACTGTGGCACCCCATGAACATTCTCTCCATACACTGTGCCACCCATGAACATTCTCCCCATACACTGTGGCAATCCATGAACATTCTCCCCATACACTGTGGCAACCCTTGAACATTCTCCTGTCCATACACTGTGGCAACTCATGAACATTCTCCCCATACACTGTGGCACCCCATGAACATTCTCTCCATACACTGTGGCAGTCCATGAACATTCTCCCCATACACTGTGGCAACCCATGAACATTCTCCCCATACACTGTGGCAACCCATGAACATTCTCCCCATACACTGTGGCAACCCATGAACATTCTCTCCATACACTGTGCCACCCATGAACATTCTCTCCATACACTGTGGCAGTCCATGAACATTCTCCCCATACACTGTGGCAACCCATGAACATTCTCCCTCACATCTTGACACATTCCCCACGAACTGAGGCCCCACATGTTCACACTTTCCACCATGCACCCCGACATATATCCACATTACCCCACATGTATACACATTCCCCCATACACTGAGGCCCCGACTGACCATGCACTCTGTCCCCCACATGTATACACATTCCCCCACATGTATACCATCCCCCACATGTATACACATTCCCCCACATGTATACGCATTCCCCCACATGTATACGCATTCCCCCACATGTATACACATTCCCCCACATGTATACACATTCCCCCACATTTATATGCATTCCCCCACATGTATACACATTCCCCCACATGTATACCATCCCCCACATGTATACACATTCCCCCACATGTATACGCATTCCCCCACATGTATACGCATTCCCCCACATGTATACACATTCCCCCACATGTATACACATTCCCCCACATTTATATGCATTCCCCCACATGTATTCACATTCCTCCACATGTATACGCATTCCCCCACATGTATATGCATTCCCCCACATGTATACCATCCCCCACATGTGTACATATTCCCCCACATGTATACGCATTCCCCCACACGTATACACATTCCCCCACATGTATACCATCCCCCACATGTATACACATTCCCCCACATGTATACGCATTCCCCCACATGTATACGCATTCCCCCACATGTATACACATTCCCCCACATGTATACACATTCCCCCACATTTATATGCATTCCCCCACATGTATTCACATTCCTCCACATGTATACGCATTCCCCCACATGTATATGCATTCCCCCACATGTATACCATCCCCCACATGTGTACATATTCCCCCACATGTATACGCATTCCCCCACATGTATACACATTCCCCCACATGTATACGCATTCCCCCACATGTATACATATTCCCCCACATGTATACACATTCCCCCACATGTATACGCTTTCCCCCACATGTATACGCATTCCCCCACATGTATACGCATTCCCCCACATGTATACGCATTCCCCCACATGTATACACATTCCCCCACATATATACACATTCCCCCACATATATACACATTCCCCACATGTATACACATTCCCCCACATGTATACGCATTCCCCCACATGTATACACATTCCCCCACATATATACACATTCCCCCATACACTGAGGCCTCGACTGACCATGCACTGTGTCCCCCACATGTATACGCATTCCCCCATACACTGAGGCCCCGACTGACCATGCACTCTGTCCCCAACATGTATACACATTCCCCCATACACTGAGGCCCCGACTGACCATGCACTGTGTACTGCCGCTCGTGTACGTGTAACAGGGCCTGTGTCTCTGTTCAGATGTCACCTCCTCCAGGCTACCAACACATTCCAATCTTGTATGACCCTCAGCAGCAGCAGATGTATGTACAGGGCAGCTCCTCCCCGGTAAACATCCCCCGCATGGGAGGAGGAGGAGGCGGCCCCCTCAGCCCCACAGGCCAAAGCTGGCCGGACCAGATGTCTCCTCACCAAGGTCAATCAGCTTCAGCAATGCATCATGGGATGACGTCGTCTTCCCTACCCATGATGAAATTGCATGGACAGAACAACTACATCCCAGTCCCTCTGTCTCAGGTGCTCAATGTCCCCACCCAGTCTCCTCCCACCCCCGGGCAGCAGATCATGATGGCCATCTCCCCCCAGAAGCAGTCCTCCAGGATGGGGCACTCAACAGGCCTGCCCCAGGGGCCGTACACATATGGCCAGCCCATCCCACAACCCCAGATGCATTCGCCTCCACAGGTGAGGGATGGAACATTTGTACTACCCAAAGGAAGTTAAAGAACACCGATTATTTCTTGTTACTTTATTTAGTCATGCCATGACAGACTAACTACAGAAATAGGAAGTAATCATGTGTTCTTTATCTTCTTTTGAGTAGTATACATGTATAACCAGTGTTGAAGATTAAAGTCAAGGGGTCCTTATCATTGCTTTAGTGTTAGGAAGAAAAGATTCAGGCTAAGTTCAAGTTCAGTCCCTAGGTTCAACATTGCAGCTAAACCCCAAGGACCCCAGGATCCCCCTTGTTTTGGAAAACTGCTTAAAAATTGTATGTGCTATGACACCTGATAAGTCCTTCACTCCTTATAGCGATCACCAGGGCAGGTCGGGTAGCCTAGTGGTTAAAGCGTTCGATCGTCGCGTCGAAGGCCCGGGCTTGGTTCCAGAAATGGGTACAATGTGTAAAGCCCATTTCTGGTGTCCCCCACCGTGATATTGCTGGAATATTGCTAAAAGCTGCGTATAACCATACTCACTCACTCACTATAGCGATCACCACGTCTGTCTGCCCGTTTTAGGTTCCAGAGCAAAACTCCAAAACCGTTAAATATTTCTTTGTTGAAACTTTCTATGAAGATCAGGCTAGTGGGGAACAGGTGCATTTTAATGTTTTGGGATTTTTTCTTTTTCTTTTGTTTTGTTTTCATGATTTTTCATGATGAAAACAAGTTGTTTTCCGTTTCTGGAGCAGAACTCCGAAACTGTTAAATATTTCTTATTTAAAATTTCTATACAGATCAGTCTGATGATGATTTTATGTTTTTATTTTTTATATTTTTTTTATGTTTTCCTGACGACAAGTTGGACTCCCAACTCCAAGATGAAACTTGCTATACAGATCAGTCTAGTGGGATTTAGAAAAGACTTCACAGCATTTTTTTTTCTTCACTGATTTGAAGGTATCCAATGGTAATGAACAAAAAGTAGGGTATAGCAGCCAAAAGTCATTTCCGAATTGCACCAGACCGGGGGATATGTCATCTCCAGATGACCCTTGTCTTAGTTAGTTTACATATTTTGGGGCTAAAATTGTAGATGTTTTTAAACAATTTTTTTGGGAACTATTTGAAGACCAAAGTATCAGCAAATGTCACGTATGTCACGAACCCAGAGCATGAGTCGTAATGGAGTTTGATTTGGCCTTGTTGACTTTGTTTGTGAAAGTCCATATGTTAATGCGGAAATCATGCCAAATTACAAGATGGGCATAGTGAACAGAATTTCTTTTGTTGGCTGTTTTCTATGATTGGGGCGAGATGACCAATTTCCTCCATATTGAAGTGTTGGCATCTTACTGAATCGTACCTTTCTGGTGTTAAATGAAACATTCCATTGCGTTGATCTAACCAAGCTTGTGAGCCCGTACTGATGTGCCCTCCTCCTTTCCCCTCAGCATGGCTTCGTGCAGGCCCCAGGGTCGCGGAGTGCAGCAGCAGCAGCAGCAGCAGCATCCATGAGGCAGGTCTCTCACTCCCCGCAACAAGGCGGAAATCTAGTCCTCAGTGAGTAGTTAATGACACATGTGCAATCTCTATGAGCTGGACAGTTGTTTATTAGAATTGCATTTTACAAAGTTTCTGAAAAAGATCTATTTCAATATTTTTACATGGGGATGTGGGATAGCCTAGTGGTTAAAGCAGTTGCGCGTCACGCCGACAACTTGGGTTCGATTCTCCACATGGGTACAACTTTTGAAAGCCTATTTCTGGTGTTCCCCGCCATGATATTGGTAGAAGTAGTGTTACACCATAATCATTTCACTAATATCACTGACATGGAGTCAGGAGTTGGTAATTTCAGAATGTTTTTATTTGGAAATACATTGTGTGTATTATGCTATTTATGTTACAACAGAGGTAGAGGTTTGCTAAATGTATAGTATTTATTCCTAATACAGGATATTTTCTATTACAAAACACACAAGCATGATAAATTCTATAACTGTGATATGTGATATATGTCTGTATCCTGTCTAAAACCTGTGACACTTTAGCTTCCTCCCAGATTAGTGACTTAAGCAGACCCTCCGTTCTGTGACCTTGATACTCCCTCCCTTTCTTCCAGACATCACTGTCCCTAATGAGATGTATAACAATTACAACCACCCCCAGCAATAGCAGTCCTCTCACCCTCATCCAACACAGATGGGACAAGTCATCTGCCCCTCATCCAACACAGATGGGACAAGTCATCTGCCCCTCATCCAACACAGATGGGACAAGTCATCTGACCCTCATCCAACACAGATGGGACAAGTCATCTGCCCCTCAACAAAGACTAAGGAGACTAGTTCTCTACTCTCATATAAAACAGATGGGACAAGTTTTCTGACCCTCGTCCAAGACAGATGGGATGATTTCTCTTCAGTTTAGTTAGTATCTATGACAATGAACAATAGCATTTTACATATCTTCATTTTAATTAACCATATCAGTATATTCAGAACTTAGAAGACTAAGAATTCTTTATATAAGTAGGGGGCACGGGTGGCCCAGTCGTCTAAGGCGCCGTGATTCGCTGTGCAGAGTTGCGTCCCTTGGACACGCCAGAAACCTATGATTGTGGGTTCTAATCCCAGTTCGCCCCAATTATGTTTCTAGGTTGGTCAGCACCATACCCGTGCTCGTGGGTTTCACCGATGTGGTAAACGCCTGAGACCTGCATCACTTCAGGCTTTCCTCCCATATTAAGCTGACACGCCGCGATATAACTGGAATACTGTTAAAAGTGGCGTTTTACCCAACTCACTCACTCACTCACTCACTCACTCACTCACTCATAGTACAATAGGAGATTGGTAATGGTGACGAAGAATGTAAAGAACATAGAAACTCATGCACCTTGTGGGAACTTGTGACAGTAGGACTAAAACATCGTATGATGGGATCCATGTCTATTTGACTTTTTACTGTTTAACCAGGTAGGTAGCCTGAAAGATTGGCTAGTAAATTATTTGTTTGGCTTGTAGGAATTCTGTATGTAAGGTCGTTACGTCAGTACTTCGAAGGCTGGAAACCTTCTGGGCTTAGTTTGGACTGTATCTTATTGTATGGTTATTCTGCATGGAAATAGCATCAGATGGGACAAGTCATCTGCCCCTCATCCAACACAGTTTAAGGAATACTCCAGATGTTTTGCAGCCACCTACTGTCAATCAGTCCTAGTTATCTCAAAATTCTGATCTTCTCAAAGGATACTTTTGGTCTTAACAACTTCTCTGTATGGTGATAATATTACTCTCCCAAGGTATTCTTGTGACATTTTGCACCCATCATCCATGAGCTAAAATGGTGCCTGGGTATTTAGCACCTTTGAAAATGTCTACATTGGCCACGTCAACGGCGACAACACTTGATATGGTGAGTGTGATATACTTGATAGGCTCACTGGTTGTTTCTTGAGCTGTACTGGAGACAGGTTCAGGTATCTTGTTGTAAACAAAAGATTACAAAAGGACCCCAACAACCTATGCTGGTCACACAACGCGACCAAATGGATCGGGTGGTCAGGCCTGATGACTTAGTTGATAGCGTGTCCTGGTATCCCAATGGCGAGGATCATTGCTCACAATATCGATCACTGGATTATCTGGTCCAGACTCGATCGAGCCGCCGTCATGTAACAGGAATATTGTTGAATGTTAAACAAGAAAGAAACTTATTACTGAAACGATCACTCCTTGATACTGATGACTTTCTGTTCTTTGATATGAATCTTTTGGCTAAAACTTAAAGACCCTGTGACATATTTCATTCAAAGATTTCAATGTTCAAAATACTTATTAGGACACTTTTGTACTTAGTTATGTTTGAGTTTCAACTGACAGGACTGTACAACATGAGAGAAAAGAAATGATGCCTCTTAGCACACAACTCACTCACAATTTTCATTTAAATAGACCCCCTCACTTACTGCTAATCATACAATCAAGTACTGAAATATAACATTTTTCTAAACCTAAATGTATAATATTTATTTGCAGTATCTGTGTGATATTGTGAAGTTTCAACATAAATGTTCAAAGTGGTGTTGGGGGCCCAGTTGTCTAAGGTGCCGCAGTTCGCTGTGCAGAGTTGCGTCCCTTGGGCATGTCAGGAACCTAAGATTGTGGGTGAGAATCCCTGTTTGCCCAGATTATGATTCTAGGTTTGTCAGCACCGAACCCGTGCTCGTGCGTTTCACCGAAGTGGTAAACGTCTGAGACTTGCATCACTTCGGGCTTTCCCCCCACATCAAGCTGACATGCCGTGATATACCCAGAATACTGTTCAAATCGGTGTTAAACCCAACTCACTCACTCACTCACTCACTCACTCAAAGCCGTGTTAAACCAAACTCACTTCATCAAAGAAGGTCATGTTGTATATAGAGATATTTCCTATTTTCAGTGGATGATATAAATGAAATTTTGTTAATCATGGTTAACTTTTTATTCAATTTTCAAGCAACAAGCTATCACAGCCGTAACATATGGACTTTCCACTGATAATCATGATAACAAAACCTTATTGTGATTTTTAATATAGGTTTTACTTGTAAATAGTAAAGATTCAGTACTCAAGGGATGTTTCTTTGCACATATATTTATTGTGGATAGATAGTTCTTGTTTTCTTGTCCATTCCAAAGTCATTTATTTTGTTTAAATTCAAATTTTAAAGAAACATTTTTAGAATTTTTTCTATTGTGTTGATTTTCATTTTAGCATCTGTTTGAATACCTTTTTGTGGGCTCAAAGCCTTAGATATTGCATACCTTTCATTCATAATGACTCTGAGCTTGAATATGTTGTCAAAAGAAATACAGTACATAACCTTCATTATTTTCTGATATTTTTAGAACAATTAATCTGTGTCATAAATCTTAGATTCTCCCAAAACATCTTGATATTTAATGAAACCCAAATATATATGATTTATGTCAAGTTTTAAGTAATGAAATAATTATGTTATGAATTTGAATGGGTAAACCATGGATAGTGTATGAAACATTTGATAATCTGAAATATGTATTATTTTTGGTGAAGTTCCCTGTTTTTATTCTTTGTTTGTCGTTTTCATCATTTCATGAAATGATATAGATCTAGGTCAGGAGAACACATCTATTATAGCATGAACACTACTTCCCAGGTTTGATCTAGGTCAGGAGAACACATCTATTATAGCATGAACACTACTTCCCAGGTTTGTACACATTGTTCCCCTATCACCTGGGAATACACACTACTTATCATATGCAAGTGTAGTCAGTATTTTAACTAACGAATCAAGCCGTGGCCTGGTTATAGTGAGAACCAGCCAGTGTTCTTACGAATCAGTCTTCAGCAACCCATGCTTGCCGTAAAAGGCGACTATGCTTGTCGTAAGAGGCGACTAATGGGATCGGGTGGTCAGGCTCGCTGACTTGGTTGATGCATGTCATCTATCCCAAATGCATGGCTTGATGGTCATGATGTCAATCACAGGATTGTCTGGTCCTGACTTGATAATTTACAGACCGCCGTCATATAGCTTGAATATTGCTGAGTGCGGCGTTAAACAACAAACAAACATCTTTCCAATCATCTCTCAGATTACATCTCACAAACTGTGATATTTCCCATGGAAATTGTGCCACAGCTGTGCGGCCATCTGCTCTACTCATTGCTTCAAAATCCAGTAATTATAGGGTTTCACAAGGCTTATGCACAGTAGGTTCATTTGACTTCCGGGGTCATGAGTGGCCCAGTCGTCTAAGGCGCCACGATTCGCTGTGCAGAGTTGCGTCCCTTGGGCACGCCAGAAACCTATGATTGTGGGTTCGAATCCCGGTTCGACCTGATTATGTTTCTAGGTTGGTCAGCACCATACCCGTGCTCGTTGGTTTCACCGAAGTGGTAAATGTCTGAGACTTGCATCACTTCAGGCTTTCCTCCCACATTAAGCTGACACGCCGTGATATAACTGGAATACTGTTAAAAGCGGTGTTAAACCCAACTCACTCACTCACTCTCACTCACTCATTTGACGTCCATGAGATATAAACAGCCTTATTTCATTAAGATCGATACTACATAGAGGCTGTATGCATTCCCATGTGATAGAGGAATGTAGAGTACATACAAATCCGTGAAATTTTTACGATGATAGTCGTCCTTTTTGTGCTGACTCATTGAACCACATTTGTTTTAATGCTACATTGTCAGAAAGCCAAGCTTGTTGTTATATATAAATCTGATGTAATTGTTCCAGACTGATACATCGTGAGTTAAATGATATACTACTCAAATCAAGTTAAGGAACACCCAGATTTAGAAGGCTGTGTGTTGCAATACCACCAGCCATGACAGTTTAACTTTTGTCGTATGACCATTGGCTGTTCTTTAACATCTTATGAATTTTCTGTTCATTTTTTTTTTAATACAAAGCTCTCTGTTGTAAAATTGTATGTTCAAACATAGAAAGTGAAAAATGGCAGCTATCCGTACAAGCTGCATATAATGATTTTTCTTTTCTGTTTATCTTTCAAGTATTCTGTGAAAATATCTTTTTATATTTTTTATTACCTTGCTATGTCTCATCATATTAATTATGTACTTATATTGCTTTTCAAATCCATGTTTAATCTTATATCCAGAATGGTTACAATGTGACATTGGAATTATGACGTGCTAGTAAGGGACCGATCATTTTATATTCTGGCAGGGCATATGTATGGGGAAGATTATAGTGTGTTTTACCAAACATATTTTTCACAACAACATGTTAGCTGTAAATCTTTGTACAGTATCTTAAAACCATCTTTGTTAGTTATAAGTCGACATGTGAGTCAGGAATGTTTTACGCCGTGACATTGCTGGAATATTGCTAAAAGCGGAGTAAAAAACATACTCACTCACTCAGGAATGTTTTAATAAAATTATAATGTTCAGGGTTTTTTGTGGAATTCTATTTTGAATCAGACTTCATTGATATGCCCATTAATGTAATTGACACGTATTCATATCAGCAAGCGTTGATTGACAACTGCTGAACAATGTTTTTGCTTATTTCACAGTCAATCTACATCTATAAGTCAGCTGTAATACACTGGTCCATTTGTTATGAAGTGTTATATTTTCTACATATTTTGATGGAACATGTTCTTGGTTTCTTACGAAACCCTAACTCACACTGTGGTTGCAGAATGTCGATATTCTCCCAATCTTAACCGTCTTTCTTGTAGAAATCAGGCAAAGCTTCGACTGTTGTTGCATTCTGCTGTTATTTGTATATTGTGTGTAAAGTTTGTAAATATGGTTGATGTGTTTTAATTACCATTGGACCTTGTACATATTTCATCATTAAACCCAACTTCAGTATGTTAGGCTGCCTTCAGGAGTTTCTGTTTCTCAGTCATTTTGTAAAACACTGGTAACCATGGTAACTGTTCTGACGAAGAACTTATTCATGTGGTAGATGCGTACCCATTCATTTTAACTACTTAATAGTTCCAGAGTTGTGGTCGACTCAAATCCTCAAGCAGCTTACCCTGTCAGTGACATTGGGACAGATTGAAGGTTAGTAGTTCTCATACATTAAGAGCGATGCCCTGATTGGCATTAGCA